GGGCCTGGGGTGGAGGCAGGCTCAGAGTCTGGAGAAAAGCCTAGAGGCCACTGGCTGAAGCAGAGGTAAACAGGGCAGTGACCAGAAAGTGAGAACAAAAGACCAAAGGAAAACCAGGCCACACATGGCCTTGTAGGCCTCATAAAGAGCCTTGTCTTTACCCAGGGCAGCCATTAAAAGGTCACCGAAGGCAACCGACAGAGTGGGGAAAATATTTACAATTTACATTCCTGCCAAAGTGTTACTACCCAGGGGCCAAGGACACAGCTCAGCAGCACAGCGCCTGCCTGGCGATTACAGGAAGCCATTTACAGGAAGCGCTAGGTTGTGAGTTCGATTCCTGACCCCAAATAAACAACTAAAAAGATAAATAATTACCATCCAGAATATATAAAGAAGTACAACTCAACGACAAAACCCAATTTAAAAACTATCAGAGGACCTAAATTAACATTTCTCCAAGAAGATACAAAATGGCAAAAAGCACAGGAAAAGATGTCAACATTATTAATCATTAGGGAAATACAGACCAAAACCACAATTAAAGATAGCACTCGTTAGGATAACTATTATTTTTTTTTAATTATAAAAATAAAAAGCAGACGTATTATTGTAAGCATGGGAGAAAACTGGACTCTGCCAGAAGTAATATGAAATCAGGGCCTCCTCTACAACAACAGATTGCAGTTTGTCAAAAAATTAAACATAGAATTATCACATGACATAGAAATTCCACTTTTCAATATATGCACACAAGAATTGAAAGCAAAAACTCCACAGACTTTTTGGTACATCCATGTTCATAGCAGCATTAATCACAACAGCCAAAAGGTGTCAACATCTCAGCCATGGGAGCAGGAATGGTATTTGGTGGAATATGTTCAGTGTGAAAAAGGACTGAAGTTCTGAGCCCTGCTCCAGCGTGGAGAAACCTTGAGAGTCTTATACAGGATGAAATAATTCAGGCACGAAAGGACAAAACCTGAATGTCTGATTCCACCCACGCAGGGGACCAAGAACAGTCAAATTCAGAGACAAAATGAACGGGCCAAAGAAAAATCAGATGTGGAGAGAAAGAAAACAAAGAATTGAATGAGGAAGTGAAGGGTGGGAGCTGAGGCTGGAGAGCTAGTGGAGGTCACACCTTCCCGCCTCTGATAAGGGTTAGGGTTTGTCCTACCGGAAGTGACCATACACTGAACCTTTAAGGAACAAGTGACTTGATCAGATTTGTGCAGTTAAAGACGTCACCACATGCAGAGTTGAGAGAAGAGCAGGGGGAGGCCAGAGGGTGCTCCCAGGAGCAGCAGCCTGCGGGCAGGGTGGGTGCGGTCTGCACTGCAGCAGGGAAGCTGGAGACCTCAAGGCAAGATGCTGGGGAGGCCAGTGGAAAGGGACTGGCTCCGAGGAAGTGGGAGGAAGGGAAAGCGAACCCCCAAAGGTGATGCTCCCTTTTCAGGCGAGGTAACCTCTGAAGTAGAGAAGCTGAGGATTGGATGGAGATGCTCAGGCGGGGTTACAGGAAGCCATTGTTCTGGGCTAGGCCTCCGAAGACCAGACCAAAGCACCTGGGAGTCCCTCCTGCAAGGTGCTGTGTGATAACTCATCCTGAAATGGGCCAGTTTAAAATCCACAAAGGGAAAGTCACAGCCACCAACCAGAAGGGACGCAGCTGAAGAGCCAGCCCAGAGGAAGCTCCCTCCGGTCTGACTCCGGAAAGAAAGCTGCTGAGATTACCGTGTGCTTTGGTTCCCTTTGCTTTCTTGAATCCTTTTCTGCCTCCCTCATACATGGATGCTAAACGAAGTTGACTTCAGCGCAGAATTCTGATCACCGAGGTTGGCAAAGGCAGGCGGGCGATGGGGGTGAGGGATGACCAGATAAAGGAAGGCCAGTTTGGATTAGCGTACACCGTGTGCAGACGTTGAAAAGTCGTACTGAATTCCATCAATATACACAATTAACACACATTAATCTCAGATAAAGTAAAAATACTATTTTATTAACTGCCAGATTCTAGAATCTCAATTAAAGTCAGCTAGCTCTCTAAATTTGTTATCATTTTGTCCTTTGAAAGTGCTCAGAAGGATGTGGGCACTGAGGACCGCAGTGGGCTGCAGATGCCAGTCCAGGGTCTCGATCCTTTCTAGACGGTAATTGTAGAAATGAGACAGTAGAAAAGGGAAAGTCCCAGGAGAGACTCTGGAAGCTGCCCAATTTTCAAGGAATAAGAGGAGAAAACATTTCAGAGGGGTGAACAGGTGTGTCCAGAATAAACGCAGCGGAGGGCCAGAGAACGTTACTTAACAAGAGAGCAGGTCATGGAAGCCAGAGGTAGGGATGTTTCAAAAAACTAGCAAATACACAAAATGTCTGGGACTGCTGAGACTCAAGTCAAATCAGTGTCCAGGCAGTTTTGAAGCAGGTGACCTTCCAGTTTCACCAGAAAAGTCAGAAGCCAGTCTCACGGGAGGTGGGGAACTGGTTGCTGATGAGTCTCCTCTTCCAAGGATGGGCCTTAACAAAGGCCAGCAGAGAGGCAGGTAGCCGGAAGAGGGTGAGGGTTTGTTTAGTTTGGGGTTTGCTTGTTGATTTTAGGAAGGGGAGTTTTCACACGTCCGCATAGGGACGCCTCTTCCATAGTTAGCAAGAGATGAACAGAGTGCTGGGGGCTGAGGAGCATTCTGGCTCACACGGTTTCACTGTAATGACTAATGGTGTCCCTCTCACAGCCCAGTGTTACCGTCTGGAAGATAATCCATGTGCTCATAAAGTGCAGATAGAGAGGAACCGGAGGATAGACACCCCATTAACTTTGAAGACTAAAGGGCAAAAGGGTGGGGGGAGAAAGCTCAAGTTTTTGTTGGTGTGTGTGTGTGTGTGTGCGTGTGTGTGTGTGTGCATGTTGTTTATAGAAGGTGTTTTTTCTTCCTCCACAAAGGACTTCTCAACGAGTTGCTTCAGCTCTGATTGTAAACAGTGATGAAAAAGAGACCGTCTTCTCTATTTCTCTCCCCAAAGAAAAGGTCTGATGAAGAAGCCCTGGAAATTTTGTCTGGAGTGAGTCTTAGACTGTGCCAAAATCCCATCAGCCTTTTCTTTCCTCTTCCTGCTGCTCTTTTTAAAAATAGTTTTGAGCAACTCCCTGGGGTCAGGCACTGTCTTCAAGAATTTAGTGGTGAAAACTGTTAAGAGCATGGCCTCACCAGGCTTGGTGGCCCCATACCTGAAATCTAGCACACAGGAGGCTGAGGCAGGAGGCTTGTCACAAGTTCAAGGCCAGCCTGGACTACATAGCGATACTCTATCTCAAAAAACAAACAAACAAGACGGTAGCCTCAAGGAGCTTTCAAACTAATAAAAAATTGGTCCTATTTTCAGATAATGTGCATAACAAAGTATGTACCAGGTAGTAATAGCACAAGAATGATAAACTCTGACAGAAAGGCTTCACTGAAAAGTTTAAATCCATGTGAATCTTGAAGATTGAAGATCAGTTGACAGCTGGGCAAGCCCTTGTGCCAAAGCCTACAATCACAGACAAGCGGAGGGCCCAGCAGTTACTCTGGGTCACCTGCTGGGACAGGAGGACGGCAGTAAATACCATCTGTTACACAACTTCTTTTTAATCTCTCCCCAGCTCCAGAACTAGAGCTGGAACCCAGAGCCTAGCACATGCTGTTCAGTGCCCTACACTGAGCTACGCCCCCAACCCATCTTAACATCTGCACATCTCATACCGCCCCTAGGAAGTGTCTTGCTAATGCAGAGACCAAGTGCATGCTTTCCGTGAATGCAGAAGTCTTATCTCCATGTTAGTTAAACCGGGCCCTGTCTCCATGTCCTGATATGTTCAGAGCTGGCTGAGCTATTTCCTTCTCCCTTCAACTGGCTTTAAGCGATACAAATAATGCTAGCTGAGGTACTGATATGTAATCTTTGAGACCAACCATTTCCTGTTCCCTGTAAACAGTTGAGCAGAGTGAGATGGGAGAGCCACACAGCTCCAGGAATGTCAGCTGGGTATGAGCCTCAATTTAAGAGGCTGCGACTTCCCAGGGCACAACAGTTTATCTATCAGAAACTGAAGCAACAGCTCCCTAAAAACATTCAAATGCTACCCTAATCAGGTTATGCAGACTGGTCTTTCTGCATTTCTTTCTCCCTGTATACTGCAGAGGTGCTTGGCCAGCTCAGCTCCTCTTGCTCACGTGATTCCTTCCCATCGTCCTCACTGTCAGTCACCCTCGAGCAGTGGCCACTCCCTTTGTAATAAATTCTGGAGGAGGCCCTGGATCAAGACATCCCTCCATATATCTCACTTGGACGGGACTTAGGACCCCTTGGCTGCCCACAACTTGGAATATGTCTTGGTGCCTTTACTCTCACCGTGGGTTGCATTGGAGGTGGTAGATTGGAATTAGCTTGCTGGGATTCCAATGACGTCTCCATGGGATTACAAAAATAACTTTCTGGATTGTGAGGTGTAAAAGGTATTGTAGTACTCGGATTACAACATACAGTATTCAGATGACTGTATGCTAATATCTCTATTTCCCAAGTGAGGACGATGAGACCACAACATTCAACGCCCTGCCCAAGTTCACAAAGCCAGGAAGGAGTGTAACTGAGCTTTGATTCCCAACCCACAAGCTTTCTTCTGCAAAGGAAGCATCATATGTAAAAAGCAGACTGCAGGAATGCTGTGGAAGGAGAATCTTGTGTCTCCATTGTTTTCAAAGGTTTTTCCTGACATTTTAATCAGTTCAGGGAAAATCTAACAAGTAATGGAAATGTAAAATGGGAGCACTAGCAGTAAAGCTATTTTATTTTTCTTCTAAGCATAACAGGCCTTATTATGGGATTGTACACAGATAAGCACAGGTAAGCAGAAGTGGTTGCTTGAAGTTCTCCCTTAAATCAGAACAGAAGGAGGGGTGGAGGGGAAGCTTGAAGTTAATTAAAAGGAGGAATTTCCTCAAAAGCCCCACTGCGCCAGCCAAAGTGGGAAAAAATCTCAACCTTTTCCGACACGGTCAGGCGTCTCGTTCCGTGAACAGCGCTGAGACGGTGCTTACCGTGGAAACACCCCAGCGCTCGGAGGAGCGCTGTGCATGCAATTAGCTCGTGCACAGACTCCCTGCGAGTGGGAGCTGACGAAGCACACGGCAAGATCGGACTTGCAGTCCTCATCAGCAGTTCTGTTTCCCTGATCTCACCCCAGCAGTCGCCCGTCCGAGGCCTTTGATTTACTGAAAACCTTCCTCCTGCTCTGCAGTCTCCTCAGGGCTGCAGAGGGGGCCACCGACACTCTCCAGGACACCACTACAGGAAAGGAGAGCTGCAAAATCTGTAACTCAGGCCTAGGAAGGGAGGCTCACTCCCAGGGTAAAGGTGGGCAAGAAGGTGGCAAAGAACCGAGGGGCCCTCTCAGAAATTCAGAAACTTTGGAGACCTGCACCCTCAGCGTCTCCTGAATTGGCATCAGGACAAACACCACTCTGCACAGCATTGTTAGGTACTGAATGGAAAAAAACAAAAACGATTTCATATTCAAGAGGAAATGTTGGGTCAAACAAAATGAAACAATTCTGTTTGGTTGGAAGCTAAGTGCTTCTCACGGCCATTAGTGTGCTAACGTGGAACAAGTTATTTTTGTTTTGTTTTGTTTTTTATTTTAATCTTACTTATCTTTCCAGGACTTTCTGATTACTGACAAAACTTGGGACAATAACACCCCAAAAAATAGTCTGAAGACTCCCCCAGGATATGTCGCTAGTCTTCAAGGAAACTACAAAAGCTGACAGTAAGTATTTAAAGTTTATTTAAAAGTAATTTTAACTGGGCCAGGGATATAACTCAATGGTAAAGCACCTGCCTGGTAAGTGCAATGTCCTGAGTTCAATTCCTGCTACCAAAAAAAAAAAAATTAAATTAGCCAAGCATGGTGGTGCACACTTGTAATCCCAGCACTCGGGAGGCTGAGGCAGGAGGATTGTTCCAAGTTTGAGACCAGCCCAGGCTACCAGTTTACCAGTGAACTCAAGTCTAGCCTGAACTGCATAGAGTGACCCTGTCTCAAAAAAATTTTGTCTTTTTCTTTTTTATCAGTACTAGGGATCAAACTCACGACCGCCTGCTTGCAAGGCAGGTGCTTATACCAGCTAAATCCCCAGCCCCTTCAAAAAAAAATTTAATTACTCAATTAAATAACTTTAACCATTTTAAAATAATTTGACCACGCAGGAACATCCAAAGTCATGATCAGAGGACTCATGGGATGGCACAGAAGAGTGTAGGTGTCACAGTTTACACAGCAGGAGCCACAGGATCTCAGCACCACATACCATGGACTGGAAAAAATGCGATCCCACACTTGAGTTTGCTGTGTTAGGAAACACAGATGATCTCAGTCTTCCTGATGGTGCTGTCCCTCACGGATATAAAGTGAGCTGTACAAGGTTGCAGTGTCAGCACCTAAACCCAGCCAGCTGAGGAGCACGTAAAAGGAGTCAGTTAAGGAGTCAGGAAAGTTAGAAATCAGAAGATACCGTCGCTGAAAATGGTCTCACGATGGTGGTTCTGATTGTAGACGGCATCCAGCTAGCTGAGCACCACGCAGCCTCCCTCAGGATCCCTCCCAAGATATAAAATGGAAACTGAAGCCAAACAGACAAGGTTAATACACCCCAGTCTGGAAAGGTCTCCATGGGGAAGAGGATTGAGGAAATGTGAGCCTGAAATAGACCGTACCTTAAAAAAACAGTGAGAGAGAGACAGAGATAGGGAGACAGAGAGAGTGTTTGTGGCTCCTGCTTCTTACCTGGCCCTGACCCAGGCCCGGGAGGAGGCAGCTGGCACAAGTGTGGAGCTGGCCGGCTGTGGGACACTAGGAGGGAGGGGACAGCGGCAAATGAGAGCCCTGTCCCGCCTTGCTCCAGCCAGTGTCACCACGAGAAAGTCAACCCTGGTATTTCCACAGCTGTTGGCTTTGTTTGTGAACCGTTCAACACGCTGTTTCTCATTTTAAATTAAACTTTTAATTTTGAGATACTGAGATTGTAAGCAGCCATTCGGAGAGGTCCCTCGCACCCTCTCCCCAGCGCCCCCTGTGGTAACGTCTTGCACAAGTCCAGTGCAATCTCTCACAACCAAATGTTCACACTGATTCAGCCGAGACATGGAACCACGTATCCTCACCACAAAGAGCCTCTCACATTTTTTAAAAAGGAAAAACCTGGACTTTTATGTGAAATACTTTATTCTGTAAATATTGGCGATTTTAAAAACTATAAATAGCCGTTATAGGATGTCACTTACATCGAGTTCAACACAGGCAAAAACAAATCTGAGGTAGAAGGAAGCCAGTGACCACCACGGAGTGGAGGACCGCAGCCAGAGCGGGGACACACTGCTCCCGGGACTGTGGTTTTGGTGCATGTCACACTGGTGTGCTCACTTTCTGGAAATGCGTCTGACTACACACTGGTGGTGCATGAAAACCTGACTAGAGAAAAAGAAGTCTTTACAGTAATGACTTTACATTTTAATAAGGGTATAACCTGGGTGTGGTGCATACCTGTAATCCCAGCGCTCAGGAGGCTGAGGCAGGAGGATCATTCAGGTTGGAGACCAGCCTGGGCTACAAAGTGAGCTCGGGGCCAGCCTGCATAGCAAAACTCTGCCTCAAAAAGGAAAAAAAAAAAAAGAATATGCAGAGTATATACAAAGGAAGAGAATCCCAAACCAGGAATAGAAGGGATAGTCTTATAAAATATTTTATAGCTCCTTGAAACAGTTAGAATCATTAATACTCATTATTGGCTTCTTTAGAAATGCCAGTCTCATTGACCGAATGCGGTATTTGACATCCAGCACTGAATGTCTGTGAGGGGACAGCTCTGATCAGCAGAGGGGGGTGCTTTGGGGGTAACGGAGGAAGCGTACATTTTGCCTCAAAATCCTTATTTCTTGACAAACCCAAAGAGAGAGAGTTTTACCAAAAGCTTACCACCATTGTGGGTTTTGTTTGCTTAGTTTCTTTAGCATTTTTACATACAGAATTTGTAGGCCTCTGTAACAGTCAAACAGAATTTAACCATTGTAGCTATTAATCAGAAACCCCAAGCCACCAGGTATGGTGGTGTACACCTGTAATCCCAGCACTCTAGGAGGCTGAGGCAGGAGGATGGAAAGTTGGAGCCTAATTTGGACAATTTAGCAAGTCCCTTTAAAAAAAATTAATAATAATAATAGACTGGGGATATCGATTTATCCAAAGGCTCTAGGTTCAATTCTCAGTACCCAAACAAAAAGCATGGACCTCCACACTTGGCTGGACTGAGAGACCTCCAAGGACCCTGTCAGCCCTTTGCATCCTACGAGTCCATCGTTCTGATTCAAAGTGCTCCATAGACTGGAAACCCGCGCCATTCCCAAAGGCCAGGCTCCCTGAGAAAGCTCAGAGACACAGGCCCAGCGTGCTCTGCCTAGGTGCTGAGTGAGCTCAGGCTCCAGCCCCGCTGCCTCCCTCTTTCCCTGATGCCCCCAGGGGAGGAGCAGGTTGAACTGGTCGGCTCCGGTGCTCCGCTTGTCCAAGGAAACAATGGGGTGTGAATCTTCTCCAGTGAGTCAAAGGGAAAGCTGCCCATCACCTGTCCCCCCCTCAGTGGGGAGAGGGAGACCAAGTCAAGAGACCAAGAGGTGCCTATAGCTCCAGCACCCTGGGAAGCTGAAGCAGGGGGATCGCAAATTTGAGCCCACTCTGGGAATCTAGGCTATTTAGTAAGACCCTGTCTCAAAACAATAAAAAAGGCTTGATGTGAAGGCCCTGGGTTCAGTCCCCCCAACAAGGCGGGAGGGTGAAAGGGACGAGTCTTTGCCTCTTTCTTCCCCGGCCCTCCCAGCATCAGTGTCAGCTGAGCTGCACCCTTAGGGACCAAGAGGAAAGGAAAGTTTGTAAAGAAAGGCAAGGAACAACGTGATCGCTAAAGTCGCCATCTTGGGTGCAGCTTTTGTTGTGATGATGCTGACATTAGCTCAAGCTCTTTGAGAACAACTCTTCCTGACTTGCTTTAGAAGCTTGGATTTACTTTAGTTTTTTAGATCCTTTATGATGCTTTTGAGAATACGATAGACTCTTAAAAAGAACAGAGATCAAATTAAAGAAAAAAAGAAAAAAAATAAGTGACCCAAACCAAACCCCCATTAAAAATCATAAAGACAACAACCCTGTAAGGTATATAAACAGTCACTGAGGATCCTTTAAGTTGCTTTGTGTGTAACTACAATACAGTAAACTTCTAAAGGTTACTTTCAGACCTGTCAACTTACTGGATTGGTCGTAGAATTAACAGCTCTTTTGCTTTTCATAGATTTTTTAAAAATTAGATGGGGTCTCACTATGCAATCTTGGCTGGCTTCACAGCAGTCCTCCTGCCTCAGCCTCCCAAATGCTGGAATTAACCACATCTAGCTTCTTTTCACAAATTAAGGCTTTTCGTGATCCTTTCGGGCTCCTTAAACCTTTTCTTTTTCTTTTCTTTTTTTTTTTTTTTTACAAATAATTCCTTATTTGCATTCACTTTCATGTATTCTGTCTGCTGTGTTCATATGATGAGGGCCCACGACCTACACCTCAAAGTGCTGGCCCATACAGAAGCTCCATCCTTTTGCTAAACGAGTCGCTAAACAGCTCCAATCTAGCTCGCATCTCAGCAACTCTAGCAGTATAGAGCTCCCTCTGGTGGAGCCTGAAGGTGCTACATGGAAAAACCTAAAACACTTCCAGGTCTGGCTCGGCTCATTTTTGTACCTAAAGTGCTACCTAGTGCTAATGGGGCAGAAGAGAGAGAATCTGTAACAACTTATAATAGATTCCATTTGAGCATGGGTGACGAGGTGAAATTAAACAGGATTATATAAATTAGATAATTTTCAGGACATGTCTCCTACTTTTCCTTCACTTACTCATTGTAAATTTTAGTTATTGAATAAATGATCAAGGATGGTACAGTGTTGGGATCTGAAACCTAGAATTTGGAGCATCATTCATTCATTCATTTATTTAATAAAGTGTTTTGATTAAACATGAAAACTGAGGCTGAACACTTAAAGGGCACCTGTTATGTACCCAACACTGCTCTGAGAAAACAGGCAGAGACGTCGTGTCTGACTTCATGGAACTCACAACCTGGACCCTGTGCCAAGGTCTTTGAAAAGCACTTGAATGCATGACATCATTTAATTTTCGTGACTTTTACAGATGGGGAGAGTTGCCTGAGGGAGGAAGCTGCAGCAATCTCGCCAGCTACCCAGCTCACATCAGATAGAAAATAAACAGAAAAGCTAGCGTTCAGACAGGGGGCTCATTCTGTACCTCGACTCTGTTCTCGTGATTCACGCAAATGAAAGGCATTTTTAGCTTTTTGCTATTGAAAACTCTAAACATACAAAAATGTGCACAAAAGTATATAATATACTTTTATTTTTTATGAAAAAATAATATCAATGCAATTATCCCCCAACTTCAACGACCGTCATGTCCCAGTCAGCCTTTTTCATTTATGACTTCCTCTAACCACTCAATATTATTTTGAAACAAACTGAAGATATCAGATCATTTTGTTCACAAATCTAATTTTTGACTGAGGGCATGGTGGTGCACGCCTGTAATCCCAGCACTACTAAAGGCTGCCCCAGGAAGATCACAGGGCCATATATAGCTCAGCAGCACAGCACCTGCCTGGCAAGCGCAAGGTCCTGAGTTCGATTCCCAGTACTAAACAAACAAAAAATTCTGCTTCAAGATAAACAACAGAAAAGGGACTTGGGAGGTAGCTCATCTTGAAGGCCCTGGGTTTTAATCTCCAGTAACAAAAACAAAGACCAAATAAATAAATAAATACATAACACACTTTGGCACATTCAAATGTTGGAGCTCATTTGAGCGGACAGAAATTCATGAATTCCAGCTGGAACATGGCTGAGGAGGGAAAGAAGCAGGTTTGTAGCACGTGACTGGAGACAGCCAAGAAATTCAGTGATTGGTCACAGTCTGAGCAATCGCCTTAGTTAGAATGAGAAGTTTAAGGCATATAACTAATGCCCAGCTGGCCATCTATGAGGGGCTCAGGTTTTGTATATGAGAAATTAAAGGGAGTCAGACTTTAACATGGTTAGTAGGAACCCAGAGTATCAAGCCATCTGCCTGAAGCCTCCCATTTCTTATCTTAACACTGTCGTGCCATTATCATATCTAAAAAAATTCACATCTCTTCTATATCAAATATCCAGTATTAAAGTTTCCAGATCAAGTCTTCCCTCTGTATCCAGGAGAGAACGGTTCCAAGACTGCATAGAACAAAATCCAAAGACCCTCAAGTCCTCTGTAAACCATCCCTACATGACCGGTGACACCTTCTCAGTGTAATGCCATGTAAGTAATCCCCGTACTGTATTGTTTAGGAAATAATGACAGGGAGAGCAATCTGTTCATGTGCATTACAGATGCATTTTTTCTAATAATTTTCAATCAGCCAGTGGTTGAATCTGTGCATGCAGAACCCAACCACATGGAAGATGTATTGTGTCAAACGTGATAACATGTTTTCTGTGTACTTATTTGACGTGGGGTCCAAATAAGGTCTAAAATGTATAGCTGGCTAATGTTTCTTAAGTATATCTTTTTTTTTTTTTAAGGTAGTGAAATACAAAACAAGACAGAACAAAGCCATTTGAGACAGTGCGTGAAATTGGTACAGAACTTCACCGCAGGTTACCGGGATAACAGAATTAGGTATCACAGTATATCTCGTTATCTTTTTTTTTTTTTTTTTTTTTGGCTTTTTCGTTTTTATCGGTACCAGGGTTCGAACTCATGACTGCCGGCTTCCAAGGCAGGCGCTTATGCCGCTGAGCTAAATCCCCAGCCCCATATCTCGTTATCTTCACAATAGTTGTTCTTTCAATCACATATAGCAAAATAAAATGAAGTACAGAACATTATAGAACTTATCAAAACAGAATATTGAATAGAGCAGTACCATTCATCAGAATAAAGCAAAACAGTAGTAAAAATATTTGCCTTCAAAAAGATGGTAGAAGGAAATCCCCCTTATTTGTTATGGTCAACCTCCCAAGAGATGCTCAGATCGCTGGTTCCCATTTGCTAAAGGAGGGCAGGGGAAGTGAGATGTTTGCCCGTGCATCAGTAGGCTCACTACTGCTTAGCAGGGAGGCAGGCTGGTTGCTTGGTTCCCAGCATCCTAAGTTCCAACATGGCACAGATCTCAGGAGACCCTGGTGGCTCCCCCTTGGGGCGGCTGCAGCCCCTAAGTACATCTTAACCTACAGGCTCCCTTTCATCTTTGCAATGCACATGTATATACATAGAGTCCACCAAAAAATGTACACACAGGGAAAGAAAACTAGTATGATGTTTTGTAACAGACGTGTTACCTTCGTATGGGGGACCTAGAGAATGCTGCATACCACAGAAAACCCACTACACTGCCGGCCCTTAGAAGAGAAACTAAAAATGCATGTGTAGCAACCTCAGTGACCAAGGTCACCCAAGCAGCAGTTTACCACATTAATAAAAAATGTACAGAAGCCGATGGCCGCCACTGTGAGCAATTTTGTAACTGTAACTTGTACTAATCTCATGTCTCAGTAAATTTAGTATTGAAGTATTTATAAAAGTTTTCCTTTTCCTGAAGTATTATACATTTTTTGATTTACCCTCTCTGTTCTCTGTGTATATATATAGTTTGTTTGTTTGTTTGTTTGTTGAGGCAACTCTTGCTTGCCTGGTCTCACATTGCAATGGTCCTCCCACCTCAGCTTTCCAAGTGCTGGGATTACAGGCCACCGTGAACCACCATATCCTGCACCTTTTCATTTTCTTAACCGAGTCTTCCAAAACACAAAAGTTTTAAATCCCAGTGAGGCACAATTTATTCTCCTTTCCTTCCATGATTATTAGTTTTGTATCTTCTTTAAGATACCTTTGCCTACTCCAAAATCATAGAGATGTTATCTTTTATTTTCTTCAAAAAGTTTCAAAGTTTCAGACGTTACTCATTACAAGTTAATTTTTATACATGGCTTGAGCTAAAGGTTGAAGTTCATGTTTTTTCTGCAGATATCTATCTAGTTTTTCCAGTACCACTTGTTGAAAAGAATAACCTTTCCTCCATGGTATTGCTTTGCACCTTTATTGAAAATCAATTGTAGGGTCTATTTCTGAACCCTGTTAAAATAAATGTCTATTTTTTTTTTTTTTATCTTTTTCCTTTTTATCGGTACCAGGGACCTCACGACTGCCTGCTTGCAAGGCAGGCACTTCTGCTGCTGAGCTAAATCCCCAGCCCTAAATGTCTATTCTTATATTAATTCCATCAGTATGTTCCCCAAAATCTCATAGGTCAAAGTTCAATCAGTGAAAATGAGAATACTATTTTTTATTTTAAAGAGAATAAAACCAAACAAAATAAAACAGAATAAAGCTAATCAAAACAAAACAATGAAAACAATGCAGGACTTCAAAACAAGATAAAGAGGGGCTGGGGATTTAGCTCAGCAGCATAAACACCTGCCTTGCAAGCAGGTGGTCATGAGTTCGATCCCTGGTACTGATAAAAATGAAAAAGACCGGAAAAAAAAAAAAAAAAAAAAGAACTGGTTTGGCTAAGGATTTAGCTCAGTGGCATAAGCACCTGCCTTTCAAGCAGGTGGTTGTGAGTTCGATCCCCGGGACTGATTTAAAAAAAAAAAGGTAACAGGAAACCAGCAATGGCTACCATAATATATCTTGTTATCTTTAAAATAGCTGCCTGACCATCTAACACAGGCATATAAAATTAGCTAAAAACACAAGAACTAATTCGCTTCTTTATTTCAGGTGCTGTCTTTTCAGAAATTTCAGGCATGTGACTTCTAATTTCTATTGAACTTGTTCCGTGTGGCCTAAGCTCTGAGATTGTCTTTTGCTACTCCATCTTGACATTGTCCTGCCTTCACTCCCTCCGCGGCGTCCCAGGGGCTTCCTGAAGTGGCTGCCAGTGCCTCAGTGTAGTGGACTGGACAGAGCACCTGGGTCCCTCCGATCTGGGATTCCTGGAGTGGCAGAGAGTCACCGGGCAGCAGTTCACAGATGCTCCCCCGAGGGTGGCATGGCTTCTTCTCCAGGACACTCTGGGCTCACTGAATCTCTCTGGGTTGCTGGCATGGAGCCTCTGGGCCAGAGCTGAGATAAAAAATAAGAATTCATTTTGACTAAATAAAATACGACATATTAAGATTCACAGAATGCAGCCAAAGTGGTACTTTCTGATAGGTCCAAACACATACATAAAGATTTTCTTCAACTTATGTCCTGATAAGCCCACTGTAAATATAAAGTGTTATTAAGGAAAAGCATGTCTAATACATCAAACCCAAAAGTCATAGCTCAGCCTCGCCTACCTCAGGTGTGCTCAGGACACTCACATTAGCCTACGGATGGCAGGGCCAGCTAGCGCCAAGCCTGTCCCATAGGACAGTGCTCAGTGTCTCCTGTCCACGCACATGCACAGAATGTGAAAATACAAACACAGTACCCAAAACACGCTGGCAACCCAGTGCTGGAGAGCATCCGCACTTCATCACGGGGCTGGTATTGCTTATTACCGGCTCAGGAAAATGTCAAAATTTAAAACCTGAAGTACGGTATATCTAGCATTTTCACATCATTAGAAAGCCCAGAAATTACCAATTAATAACTTTCACATAGAGAAATTCCAGGGCCAGAGAGCCCACCAGCTAAGCCAATTAGTCAGTGAAAGCAATCATCTCAAAATTCTTCTGGAGTTTAAAAAGAGAGGACATTTCCCCCATAACTTTGTGAGGCTAGCATAGCCTTACCACCAAGATTTATTTAACAAGCATATTCAAGAAAGGAAAATTATAGGCCAATCTTGCACGCAAATTGTGTGAAAAAATTAAAAAGAAATATTAAAAACAAAGCTTAATATAAATAATATATTTCACCAACTAACAGAACAAAGTAGAAATATCATTCATTGATATTTCTATCAGTGAAATAAGGACATTTAATGCATTCAGCACTACTTATGATAAAACTCTTAGTAAACCTGGAATAGAATGGAAGGTTGGTTTGTTTGTGACAAAATTTTTCATTTTTGTTTTTGTTTTTGTCTTTTTGGGACAAAGTCTCACCATGTAGCCTAGGCTGACCTTGAACTTACAAACATTCTCCTGCCTCAACCTATAATGCTGGCATTACAGATGTGTGCCACCACACCTGGCCCAGAAACTTTCTTTTTTTTTTTTTTTTTTTGTACCAAGGATCGAACTCATGACTCCACACTTGCAAGGCAGGCGCTTATGCCGCTGAGCTAAATCTTCGGCCCAGAATGAAACTTTCTTAACATGATAAAACATTTCTGCAAAGAAAAGGGGGGAAACAGACTGCAAACATCATATCTAATAATGAAATATGACCAGGACTGAGGCAAGAATTCTGACCTTCGCCGTTCCATGCTGGAGGTCCTGGCATGCGGGGTAAAGCAAGGAGAAAAATCTATAATTTAGAGATAAACTGTGGAGATATTAGAGGTTGGATCAGAGAAGCAGAAGCTTAGGAATGCTATAGAATAATGGATTTATTTTAGAGGTTTGAGCTTACACAGTTGAGCTGTAAAAACAATGTCTATTTGGCAACGTCTTATGCAGCTGGTGCTGGCCACCTGCTCACATGAAGATGGACATGAAGTGGGAAAGAGAAAGTGAACCAGAACTCATACAGATCAGTGGGGATGCTCTCTCCCTCTCTCTCTCTCTGTCTCCCTCTCGCTCACACACACACACACACACACACACACACACACACACACACACGCACGCGCCTTACTCAGTCTCCAAGCCACCAACGACACAGCCACAAGTGACCTGCCCTGGAAGCTCGGTCACCCTGGGCCCAGTGTCTGAAGATGCTGAAGGAAAAGATCCCACCGGAATCAAAGAGCTGAGGGTCCAGCTACTGCCCAGACTGACAAGGGCCGCCAGCACATCTGCAGAACCATAGCGGACCATCAGAAAGGCCATCAGAAAGACTACATCAGTCTTTAGAGTAAGCCTGGCCGCTGCTTTACTTTTGCCTTCCAAATTTGGGGCAATCTCATCTTGCAGCTATTCCTAACCAGAAGTCTCTACGTTCTGTAGACAAAATTTCAGTGTATTTCAATATACTTGTATAGGAAATTGAATAGGAAATTGAAAATTTTAAATATAATTTATAGTATCATTAAGAACATAATATGCCAGCGAGGCGTGGTGGCTCATGCCTATAATCCCAGCACTCGGGAGGCTGAGGCGGGAGGATCGTCGCGAGTTCGAGACCAGCCTGGGCTACAAAGTGAGCTCACGGCCAGCCTGAACTGCAGAGCGAGACCCTGTCTCAAAAAGACAAAAAAAAAAAAAAAAAAAGACATAATATGCCAGGCCAGGAATTTAGCTCCGTGGCATAAATGCATGATGCCTGGCAAGTATGAGGTCATGAGTTCAATACCCAGTACCAATAAAAGCCCCACAATATACCTAGTTCTAGCATAATAATATACCTAGTTCTAATTCTAGCCAAAAAAAAAAAAAAAAAAAAAAAAAACTTCTACACAGAAAGCTGTAAAATGTTTTCGAAAGCAATTCTAAATGCTGTGTTTATAGACTGGAAAACAGTTATTGAATGTGTCAATTTTCCCTAAACTCATTTCCAGATTCAATGTAATATTAACACAGAATTCAAAAAACAAATTTCTTTTTTTTAAATTTTTTGTCTTTTTTTTGAGACAGGGTCTCGATCAAACCAAGAGCCTGTGGGTGCTAGGCACACAATCTACCACCAATCATACCCCCAACCCTCAACAATGTTTTCATTAGTGGGATTTGCCAAATTGATTTTAAATTTAATTGGAAATGCAAAGGAAATGCTAAGGGAAGAGAAAGAAATGAAGGGCAGGAAGGAGAAATGGAGAGGAGAAAGAGGAAGGAATGGCAGGCTCTGGTCACTTGATCCCCAAATTAAAGCAGAGAGAGATGACAGAGCACCCTCTCCCTCTGCAGCACTCACGGAGGACCTCAGCTCCTGCAGCCAGAGGGCAGACCGAACTCAGGCAGAAGTCCTAATTGTTAAAATAGAATTTCAGAAAAGAATAAATAAGTTACCAGCCTGAGTGTCTTACACCGAAGTCAGGGCTATGACAAAGAACCAAGAAACTGAGACCGGTCAAATATGACCGAACCCCTTGACTCCAGGTTCCCTACACCCGGGAGGCCTACAGAATTGGTCTGTCATCCAGGAGCCTCGCATAAGGAAGTGCCTTAGGAGACCCCATTAAGGCTCCTTCACATCTGCCCACACCCCTCTCCCAGCCGTTAGATCAGCCTGCCATCAAATCTCAAGATGACTCAGCTGAGAAAGTTTTGGGCCTGCTGGGGGAAGGGAGCTTACTTAATATGCTAAGCAGTTGCCAGACCTGATGGGCAAGAACGGGATGAGTTTGCTCCTGAGAGGTGCATGGATCTAGCAGAAGACATAAAGCCACATAGAAGAGGTTTTGTCGCCGTGAGCACTCGTGCGACCTGGTACGGGCTTTGGGAGGTGGACTTCAGGCTTCAGAGTCAGAACTGCTGTGGAGCAGTTCAGCGGCACAGCGGCAACCATAGACGAAGGACCAAAGAAGCTCAGAGCACTGAGCATGCCAGCAGGAATCTGCTACAGAAAGCCGGAAAACCCACCAGCCCACCCTGTGGTTTAGGGGATTGGCCAAGAGCACCCTGTTGGTGGGGCACCAGCGTGACAGGGAAGCTCAACACCGCTGTCTACTGTGGTGCCATCACAGGCCCAGCTCCCTGGTTAGTAATGAGAATGTGGCCAGGCATGGTAGCACATGCCTAAAGTCCACCACCAGAGAGGATGAGACAGGACGACTGTGAGTTCAAGACTGCCCTGGGCTACATATCAAAATCTTGTCTTAAAGTAAAGCGGCCATAAGGTCAAAGTGCCAACTAGGAGACCTGACTTTCAGAGAAAAACAACTTTTTAAATGTACGTATACCCCGTACATACTGTTTGACAATGTGTGTGTGCTTTCCCAGAAGAAATCCAGGACTAGATGAGCAGACAGTTAAAGTGGGTTTCCTCGGTGAAAAGTCACAGTTCTCGGTTGAGTTTCTAGCACTGAGCTAATTCTAATATTCAGAACCTATCAACAAAAAGAAGTCAGGTCGTCCTTAACAAAGGCTGTTAAACCAGGTGTGGGGGTGCACACCTGTAATCCCTGCACCTGGGGACTGAGGCAGCAGGGTCGCTGTGAGTGCGAGGCCAGCTGGGCTACATAGCAAGCTATTGTCTCAAAAAACCAAAGAAGGGGGTCATGAAGGCACCTCAATATACATTTAAAACACAGCAGTGATTCCTACAGTTATTTGCCACAAGAACCTACCAGCATAAATAAACTGGTAGAAGTTAAGTGACTGACCAGGACACAAATTGACCATTAAGCAGAACTGCCCATTAGAATTGCAAAGCTGGCAGACCCAAGTCATTAGGTGGGTGGTACAACGACAGCCCACTGCAAAATGTAGAGAGGACCAGCTGGGTCGGGTGTGCTACCCAGACTCCTACCTCAGCCACGCTGCCCCTCTCTCAGCGCACCCTGTGGAAGACGGTGAGCTCTCCTCCAGAAGAGCCAACAGAGGACAGTAAAGCCTGAGCTTTGGCAGATGTCAGCTCAATATGTGAACATAAGCTCAAACTGGAAAGCCGCAGCCCTGCAACCCTCCCTAGAGGTAGCCTGGGGAACCCGGGGAAGGGAAGGGCAGAACATGTGGCAGTGAACCTAGACACCCACTTCTCGTGGGAAGGAAAGTAGCTGTTGTAGTCAGGGGTTGTGTGCAGAGAACAACTAGGATCAGGACATGGAGTTGACAATATTTTTATAATGGTCACCGGGAGTTAACACAGGAAAATGCAGGAAATCTATCCGCAACACCAAAGACATAGATTGTTTAGTCAAGAGCCTAAACCCCACGACAATATCCCACGTAAGTTCAGATAAAAACCCAGAGCTCAGGACAGTGCCTCCACGAGTCCAACTGGAAGTCCAGGGCTCACAAGGACTCACACCAGTCTCTTTTACGGATCCGTGCCAGGAAGACCCAAGGGTCAGTGGTGGAAGCCAGAAAGTCCATGCCAGCAGGATGAAGGAGCTGTGCTAGTGGGATGAGGGTTCTACGCTGGAGCCGAGAAGTCACACTCACAACAAAGAGCAGGGCTGTCCTGAAAGGCACCACAGCCGTCCTCAGTGACATAGAGGCCCCGAGCTCCTCCAACGACAAGCACAGTCGGGTACGTGCCAGGAAGCAGCGTGACAAGTTCATCCTGGAGACCACGCAGCACATGTCTTCCCCTCCAGAGCCAGGAAGCAATGCTTAATGTGAGGACCAAAGCTTCTCCAGGAGAACCAACAGCTCAGACAGCAACTCGTAGGAGAACCCACAATGCCACCTTAACGTTAGCCTCAACCCCTAACACCTCCCTTCTTCTCCACCTATTTATCCTGGCAACTTTCCTCAGGTGGAGCCTCTTCACCCAATGCCATGCTGATGTAATCCAGCTGGCGTTAAGTTGACCACCAGTTCTTAATCCATAACAGTAGCCTAATGTTAGAGTACGTGGAGAGTCATGGACAGTGATGAATGACTGGTAAAAGACTGGAGACAGGAAAAGGCACCTGTGTGGACCTATGGGCATCCCTATGAAGTGTGCCATCTGTGGTGGCCGTGGTAGGAATCCTCCTGGAGGAAACCAACCAACCACTTCTTGGTGAGGGGAACACACCGGACTCTTTCCAAGCCAGGCCTGGAGAGGATTATCCAAGAGTTCACACTCTGTCTGACCTATCAGCCTTGGGTCTTACATACCTAACAAGAAGTCAGGGGGCCCACTTTACCAAAAAGGCGTGCCAATGGATGTATAACACGGAATGCACCGGCCTTATCATGTGCCACACCACCCCCAAAACTGCCAGTGTGAAGGATTGGTGGAATATCCTTTTGAAGACATAGGTAAGGTATTGACTCAGAATAGACAATCTGCAGGATGGGTACTATCCTTCAGGATGTGCTATGTGTCTTAAACCTAGGACTGCAATATGGTATTCTGTTCCCATGAAGTAGAATGCTTGTGTCCAGGGACTAAGAATTGAAAATGGGAGCATCAGTGATCACTGTTACTGCCAGTGACCCCTTAGGACATTTGTGCTTCCTGTCCCGTAACTCGGCTCTGCGTTCCCTGAGGTCTGATTTCCAAAGTCAGAATGCTTTTGAGCCATGGTACAGGACTACACCAAAAGACCGGAAAGCAAAAAATGATTTGCCGTCCAGCAGAGGGCAGCTCTCTCTCCTCTTCAGAAGAAGCCGGGCTGCAGGGAGCTGGGAGAATATAGAGAGAACCCTAGGCCCCTGGACTTCTCTTGGTCTCCATCATGCAACACTGATGGTTGCGTGGGCAAGAGCAGCAGTGGCAGCCTGAGAGGGTCACGCTGCCCAGGGCTTCAGACTCCTCCAGCCACATTTTCTCTTTCATCAGCAGAGGTACCAGCTGGGGCTGGGACTGATCCAGCCTGGGGAGCAGAGAACAGAGGTGATGGCAATCAGCTGGGGCCACCAGAACATCTGTAATGGGACGTCACTTGTCCCATGGACTTTCCTCCTATAAATTTCCCCAAGTAAAGAGATTCCAAAACAGCTGTTTAAGGATGGTGTGAAATTATTACATGAAGCAAATGGATCCCAGCAACGCAGGAGTGAACCCCTTGGACCGCTCACTCCCCCAGCAGCGGGGATCCTTGTCCCCTGAAGATCACAACCGAACCCTGTTGCAGGCAGAAGCAGCTGCCTCCCCCAGCTCACACCTGTGTCTGGGAACAGCTCACAGCTAGGAAGTGGATGCTGTGGGCCTGGCTTCATTTCAGCGCCTGAAGGGCTGTGCCAGCCGAGAACTCCTGAGATGCTGGCTGAGGCCCTGCTGCTGTCTCCCGAAGTTTTCTCCCGCTCTGCCCCCACCCCAGACCCTCCCCAGCCCTCCCCACCTCCTTTGGGGTTGCCTTTGAGACCGTTTTCCCTGTGCGAGCCAGCTGCACGCAAATCTCCACTTGAACTGTGTTTTCCAGAGAACTCGACTGATGCCAGCCCACATATGGACACATGAAGGAAACCACTAAGAATAAAGGAGAGGAAGAAGAAAAAGAAGCAGTTTGAAAAAGTGGTTTTCTCTAGGAAGAACCATGGGGTGAGGCGAGGCGGGGTAAGGGACTGTGGGTACTCAACCCTCCTATACCCGCTGTTGTTTTTAATATATGCATGTATTATTTCCCTAATTAGAACATTTTTCATTTAAAAAATTTTAAAGAATCTGACACTGTCACTTCCCTGTTTAAAATCTTTCCGTTGTTTCCCACACCCTCGGAAAATCCGTAAGAATCTGCCTAACAAGCCAGTGAATCCCTCCTCAGGTCCTGCCAAGTTTCCTGGGCTCTTTTGCCATTCTTTCTCTCCTCTCTGTTGCCCGAGGTCCTGGACTTGGCTTTTCTCTTGCTCAGCTCTGGCTGTGCCCGTCCTATCCACCTGGTTTGCCCTGTTCACCCGTCAGTTCAGCTTAGGCCTCCCTGCTCAGGGAGCCTTCCTTACCCCCAGACTGTCTCAGGCTCCTCTTCTGTTTAACTTTGAGTTTGTTCCTCTTTGATTTTGTGAGCCTGGGTCTCACCTTGAACTCAGTGTGTAGCCCAGGCTGGCCCTGAACTGGGAGCGACCCTCCTGTCTCAGCCTCCTGCTGGCCGGGATGACAGGCGTGCACCAGGATGCCTGACTTTTGGGCTCCACTTTCACAGCTCTTTCTTGTCCACCTTTCCTTTTTTTTCTCAAGAAGTCTGTGCTGTTACTGCTGTAATAGTAGCAGATACTGCAAAACTAGAGCAGAGTACAGTGGACATTAAAAATTTGCCAAATAAGTCAATTATGCCAAAATGTTTTTTAGAGTCCCTGCTCTGTGATCTACAGTAAGTTAGAAACTGTCTGAGCTTTGCTTGCTCAGCATAAAATGGGGATAAAAGTAATACCTAGTTTGGAGTATTGTTTTGAAGATTAAATGAGATATGTCAGTAAAGCCCTTAGCATAACTCCAGGACATAGTAAGCTTTTGATTATTACATGCTTAAAAACAAAGACAATAGCCAGGCTTGGTGACACACCTGTTTCAGCACTCAGGAAGCCGAGGCAGGAGGATCTCTGAGAGCAGCCAGTCTGGGCTACAAAGTGAGTTCAAGGTCATAGTGAAACCCAAACCCTGCCCCCCTCAAAAATCTATGTCAGCTGACCCTTGGACAAGGAGAAAAATGGCATCCCATGATGTCTGTTCAACAGGATGGCTCCATCCTGCTGTTGTGTGCCAGGCACACCGTGAAGAAAACATTCAGTGCTCCTCTCTCTTCCTGTTACAGCTTCTGAGGCGAGGGCATCTGAGAAAGGTACTTAGCCCAGCACTTTCGGGTTTGCCAGGACCCTCTTGCTCATCCTTATGTGAGGTCTGTGGGGCCCAGCTTTCCTCACCATCCAGGCGAGGGCTCTGCCTTGAACATTGCCAAGTGACGTAGGACCTGTGGGGCTAGAGGCCCCTCAACACTTCCTGTGTGGGGTGCAGAAACGGGCTGCTCTCCCAGTCTCAGGTGTCTGCTTCAGAAAATGGTGAGCCTGCTCCAAAGTGCCTCCCTTTTTCACCCCAGCCCTGGGAACAAAGACCCCAGAGACCTGCACCCAGCACGCGTTTCAAAAGCGGCCCTTTCTGAAATGTCCTGGCTTCCTTTTCAGAAGTGATAAACTGATTCATCTCCGCCATCTTAGTAGAAAACTTTCCGGTGAGAGAAGCATGCCGTCGGGGGCTCTCTGGAGGGTTCTGGGCCTCTGCCTCCTCTCGGGTGAGTGGGGTGGATGGAGGAGGGCGGCTTCTCCAGGCTCAGGCTCTCACCAGATGCAGTACAGGAATGCTGGGGCACCTCAATACCGCAAGATGTGCTAGATTACAGCGGGGATTGGAGATGGGGGCAGACAGAAGAAATGTGCCCACATGCATGGAGGTCATTCAGGGAACAGCCCCAAAAGCCAGCTGGATGAGCGTATTAAGCAAGAGCATAGAGGTCTCTGCCACCCAGAACCAGCCATCTGTTGGCAAACTTACCCAGCCCCTAGGGACTAACACAAAAGCCATCAGAAGACCTAAGCTCCACTTTGTTCCGAGGAGACTAAGTGGCTGCACCCAAACTCTGCACAAAGTGTAGCAAATTTAGTGTCTTTGATATAATTGAACACTTTTTAGTTTTCAGTGCTTTTGAGGTCACCGATAGCTTTCAGTTAACTTAGTTCTTTTCTGAAGCAAGATAGGACATAAACTGATGAATAATCAAGAGTACTTGCATGTCTCACATGAGATAAATAATGTGTTAAAAAATGTCGTTTATGGAGTGCTAATGCTATGTAAAGAAAAATTCTGTCTTGCGTTATCTAATCCTTATCTCTGCCTTAGAAGAAAAGTATAATATCTCCTATTTTACATGTGAAAAAAATTAACAGAGAAGTTAAATAACTTATGTGAAATAATACGTTTAGTTAGTCGGGAGCTAATCCGGATGATCAGTATTGCTCAGAACAGCTGCACTGTAGGAGGCAAAATGGCTCATGACGATTTTATTTCAAAGAGCTAGAAAATACCTTTACAGCTGAGGCTCCTACCTCGGAGCCACTCCCTGCTCGGGTTTACCAGGCTTCAGCATGGACACAGATCCCCCAGGGACCCTGTTAAAACCCAGCTTCTGTTTTAAGGCTGAGGTTCCACGTTTCTAATAAGCTCCCAAGTGCATTTGACTAGGCAAAGAATACACTTTGAGTCTCAAGGGGTGCAAAGCCTGCAGGGATTAATTGGACATTTGCTTAGAGATGGGCCGTATAAAGTGTGCTCCTACTAAGGAAAAGGCAAGGCAAAGCAGGGTAAAACAAAAAGAAAAGGGAAAAAGGAGAAAAAAAAAGAGGCCATTTCAAAGACCCGAGCATCCCTAGACATTTGGCATTGTGAGAAGGCTCTCAGTCTGCTCTGGGATGCGACAATGTCTCACCCAATATGGAGGCTGTTGACAAACAGAAAATTCTCAGGTCATGCCAGGGAAGCTGGCGACAGCAACAACCCAAGTCATTCTTGAGGGGACTCCAGAGGGCCTAGAAGAAGGGTAATCAATTTCTTCACCGCATAGGCTCTAGTTGATGATTAATCAGTTTCAGATATTTCTGCCTCTGTCTCAGGCAGAAAGCAAACAGAAAAACTGAGCCATTAAACTAGCAGGAGCCAGAGTCAGAGCTAGAAACTCGGCGTTTGTACCCTGCCAAGTGCTTGTTTCTCTTCCAGCAAGAGGCCAGTTTTTAAAATGGAGACTTGATTGCAAAATGCTTTTGCCATTTTTCTAGTCTTCCAAGAGGCAGCCTCCACTTTTTCTTCTAACTTCTGCTGATCAAATACCAGGCATTTTTATTCAGTGCTTGATTCTCCTTCCTCTCTGGCCTCCCCCCAATAGTGACATTTATGTCACTGTTCTGAATTATAGAAATGGCTGTAATCCAGCAGCAAGCTTGAGAAGGACTTTAGACCTTCAATCATGGTCAGAACGGACCGCAGTCCTCTTTCTGCTTGGAATTGCAGGAGGTCACAACATTTACTAACTCTTCTTTTTTTTTTTCCCCTAGTTGGCGCTTGGGGGCAGGAAGGTAAGACGCTTTTTTTCTTTGTTATGAAATCAGCCCTAAATCTTTGGTACCGCCATACACCAATAACAATGTTTCAGTCAACAAGCGATCAAATATACAACAGTGATTCCATAAGATTATAGCAGAGCTGAACAGTGCCTATCACCAAGTACTTTTACTGTACATTTTCTGTTTAGGTGCACAGATACTACTGTGTTCCAGTTATCTGCAGATCCAGTACAATTTATAATCTAGGGGATTGCCTAGGGGCTGGACCATATAGACTAGGTATGCAGTAGTTACGCTGTAGGTTTGTGTGAGCGCCCTCTCAAACTGTCACATAATGACAAAACCCCGTGGCATGTCCCTCCGCACTGGCTGTATCTGAGTGGAACTTTCTCCTACCCAGCTTCCAGGAGACTAGTAAAAGGGGTCTCTGCTGTTTTCCTTTTTCTTATCAATCTGTCCCGAAAGAGGGAATCCACAAAGATTGTAAGAAATGAGTCTTAATTATTTGAAAAAAATGAGACTTAAATTTAGCTAAAAGTACCAACAGTTTTCTTTGGTTTGCATTCCATTTGCTGTGGGATTTTGGAGAGGACAGGTGACCAGCCAGACTGCAGGGACAGGGTGAGCCTAGCTCAGCCTCCAGGCAGGGTGTGGATGCACCTTCAGAATCTCACGTCTGAACACTCTGCATGTGTGTGTCTATGGCGCACGTGCATGTGCGTGTGCCCGGCCCGGACTTGTTTCTCTGTCACAACAGTGGAGTCCTCCGTGTCCTGGGACTGGAAGCCTCTCTGTTCAGTTAACGCCTCCAAACCCAAGGGACCGCTGCTGTGTTCAGAAGCAGCACTGTGCCGGTCCCCTTCCCACCATGGCACTGCTTATCTGGAGGTGACCCTAGGAACCATTTTTGCGAGTGGCCATCAGATACGTAACGTAGAACACAGGGCCCCAAGCAGCTTGTCAAACACGGCCAAAGCGTCTGCAGAGCCACTGCTCCCTAAAGATCCGGGGAAACTCCTGACCCGCAAGGCCAGAGAATGCTCGTAGCTGCTGTTGCGATGATCGCTAATGGCTTATCTTTTCTTTTTCAGACAGCGACAATACTGGTAAGTGGATTTTCATTCTATACCATTTCTTTTCAAATGCGGGTCAGGGGAGCGATAGTGGACCGTCATAGGAGTAAACGCTGAGAATCTGAGCTGCTAGAGGGAAATACAGTTACTGTTCCGTGAGGTCTGCATGAGATGTGCCTGCGTTTGCTGTGAGCTGCCCTGATGAGAGCCGTGTACATACGTCTCCCTGAGTGTGCTGGGAGGAAAAACACACGTGTGGGTGTGGTTGGAGCTTCTGTGTGTTTTCGCATAAACACTGAGTTCCTTAAAGGCACAGACAGTGTCTCCTTTACTCCACCCAGGGTCTGGCTCATACTAAATGCTCAGTGAAAATTTTTGTCTGCAATGCTGAGGATTGAACCCAACACATGATACATGCATCTCAAGCAGGTTCTCACACTGAGCTGCAGCCCCAGTTCTTTTGGCTTTTTTTTTTTTTTAATTTTGAAACAAGGTTTCACTAAGTCATTCAGGCTGACCCTGAACTTGTGACCCTCCTGCCTCAGCCGTCCCCCCGAGTAGTTGCAATCGTAAGTAGACACCACCATCCCCAACTCCAATGAACACTTTTTGAATGAACAAAAATATGGATGTTTTGCTAATTTCCTGTCCTCAAAAACTCACCTGTCCTGAGAGACAAATAATTGCTGATAGTGTGTCGTGTGCAATTACAAGGGAAGACACAGCATAAAATGTAGTATAAATAAAAGAAAATATAGTTGAGAAAGGCCGGGGGGAGGGAGTTCTTCAGGTGAGCTTTAAAAGATGAGCTTCTATTCCACGAAGATGAATACTTCAGGCAAAGGAGATAAAAACCATATAAGAGTCCCAACGGATAAAAACCATATAATAACCAGATAAAAACCATATAATATAAGAGTCCCTGACATTAGATTGCTATGTTTGAATCCTGGCTCACCTCTCTACTTGCTGGATATCTTTGACTAATTTGCTTCTTTGTGTAGTAAAATAGAAATGTGGTAACAGTCATACAGCACCTAGCTTGTAGTGTTGTTGCAAGGGTTGGGTATGTGCCTCATTTAAGAAGTCGTCTGACGTACAGAAGGAAGTAGGTGATTCTAGCTGTTACACAGAAAGCACACTGACTGGATATAGGTATCAAAATTCACTGGGCATGCATGTTCTAGTATTGCTCTAAATATTTTACCTGAATTCCTCCTCTTAATTCTTCTAAGGCTAGGCTGAGAATGTAGCTCGGTGGTAGTGTTTGCCCCATATGCTCAAGGTTCGGGGTTCAGTCCCCAGTGTGGGGAGGGGGTGAGGGCAATCCTTTGCCAGGTGTGATAGCACACACCTGTGATCCCAGCACTCTGAGAGGCTGAGGCAGGAGGACTGTGAGTTAAAGCTTAGCTGGGGCCGTTTAGCAAGACCTCGTCCCAAAATCAAAAAGAGTAAGATACAGTATAGTTCAGTGCAAAGGCCCTAATACCACACATACACACACATGCCAAAAAACAGTTCTTCTAGCATCCATTCCTATTTTATAGATAACAAACAAAATCTTATAGAATAAATAAATAGCCCATTCACAGAGATATAAATGTAAAATTTTATGACACAGAAGCACATTTTTAACATTATGAAATACCATGATAAAAAAAAATCACTATGTAGGGCCGGGGATTTAGCTCAGTGGCATAAGCCCCTTCCTGGCAAGTGCAAGGTCGTGAGTTCAATCCCCAGCACCCAAAAAATAAATAAATAAAATCGCTATGTATACAAGTTTTCTAAACGTACCTTTTCCCAAGCATAAACATCTAGGTCCTTGAATGTCTAATATTTCTGCTATCAAATGTGTGCTGATAAAAGGCGTAAACAATTTTCTTTATGTTTCTTTTTCAAACAAACCTGTCAAACAGGATATAATGTCTATTTTTTTGTTTTGTCTTGTTTTTAGTCCCAGGGATTGAACCCAGGGCCTTCACACTGAGCTACATCCCCAGCCCTTTTTAAATTTTGAGACAAAATCCCACTAAGTTGCCCAGACTGGGCTTGAATTTGCGACCCTCCTCCCTCAGTCTGTCGGAGTCTGAGAATCACCAGGCTGGGAGTACAGGCATGCAGAATTACACCCGGCTTCTAGTCTCTTTATTTATGATTTCTTGTTTTTGTAACAATTCTTTTAAAAACATCAATGCAGGCTGGGTGTGGTGATGCACTCCTGAAAATCCCAGTGCTCAGGAGGCTGAGGTAGGAGGATTGCTGTGAGTTTGAGGCCAGACTGGGCTACAAAGTATTTCAAGGTCAGCCTGAACTACATAGTGAGACCCTGTCTCAAAAAGACAAAAAAAAAAAAAAAGTTCTAGAGTATTAGTAGGTCAAAATAATATTATTTATTGTCACTTCATTCATCTCCCAAGTATTAGCAGGTAGTGAAGGATTTCCTTATGCCGCACACAGTCTCAGCCAGGTGGCTGCCTGAAAAGCTGGTGTGAGCTCAGTTCTTTCTCTCCGGTAACAGAATCCCAAGCAGGAAAGGAGGAGAGAAAGCAGCATCTGTCTTGCCTTTTACTCTCAGAATCCACTTAATTCCCTGCTAAAGAAACTGAAACTCAGAGAGGTTAGAGGATCTCCCTTGCTCACAGCCGAGGGCAGAGCTGAGATCCAAACGCCAGGCTCTGTCTCTGAGCCCAGCTTCCTTCCCCAGTAGCGCTCCATCTCTGGGCACCGCCACCTCTCCCCTCTTCCACCCGTCACACACAGGGTGTGCCAAGGCCTAGTGCTGCCCGTTGTTCCAGCCACAAGTGTTCCAGGAAACAAGAACCCCCAACCCCTGGGAAGTGAGGCTGTGGGGAACGTTGCTGGCTCCCCAGATCACATTAGTGGGTTGTTCACACCAATGTTCCGTCCCTCTAGCAAAAATAACAGAGAGCTCATGGTACTCAGAGATAAAAGCCACTTTTTATAGGAAGAGCCATTCCCTTAAAGTGTGCAGAGCAGAGGCTGGGGGTGTGGCTCCATGGAAGAGTGTACCTGGCAGAGTGGGCTTGATCCCACTCTGCAAAAGAAATATCTAGAGTGGTTCGTGTCATCTAACGACAGCAGAGACTATGCCCTGTGCTATTTTAGTGTTTTGGTAAAATGAAGCACAAAATATCTTCTTTGGCATAATAAATGCATCTCTTTTTTTTGTACCGGGGATCAAACTCACTGCACACTTGCAAGGCAGGCGTTTATGCCGCTGAGCTAAATGCCCAGCCCCAATAAATGCATCTTATTAAGAAAGAAAAGACAGAAAATTATGTGGAATAAGGTGTTTGATCTGTATTATGGAAAATTTTGTTATAAGAATTTCTGAATAAGGCTGAGGATTTAGCTCAGCGGCATAAGCATCTGCTTTGTAGGTACATGGTCATGAGTTCGATCCCCGGTACAAAAAAAAAAAGAATTTCTGAATAGTGAAAAATAAATAAGCCTAAGACTCTGTGATTCAAATGTGTGGAGGTCTTTATCTCTAAAAAGACCTTTCCGTATATGTACAAAAGGTGATTCTGGCTAATGCAAGACTTCTAGGTTTTCAGCCTTCCGACTTTAAGGTTTTCTGAGTTTTTGATAGGTCTGGGTCAAGGACAGCTTGATGTGTGTGGTATCAATGAGCACATCTCTGGACTAAGTACGTTCCTTAACTTGAAGGCGTTAGCCGAATAATGATACCTGCTTTGAGAATGATTGGGGACATTGTTAGAAAAATTTTACCTCAAATTTAAATTTAAATCAGGATTTTTTGCTTAATATTCTTTCTTTTTTTAATTTTCAGATAATGATGCACAACTGCGTGAGTTTATGGTCATTTATGTTTTGTCTGTGGATGCAGATTGATGGGTCATTTAAGTTTTGTCTGTGGATGCAGGCTGGGGATTTAGCTCAGCAGCATAAGCACCTGCCTTGCAAGCAGGCGGTCGTGAGTTCAATCCCTGGTTCTGATAAAAATGAAAAAGACAAAAAAAAAAAGGTGATTCCAGATTGATGGGTAGAGGAGAAGAAATTGAGGAACGTTAGCCCAGGAACTAAGAATCCCTCCACTATCTATGCCCAGCCCTCACTATAGAAAGCTTGCAAACAAGGGAGCTTTTTAGGTTTTCTTAACTTCCGGCTTCTCCTTCCCAAGTCCCTGAGATCCTGCCTGAACCCTGAGGCTACTTTCTGGAAGGTCCACTGGTCCCCTTTCTCCCAAGTTTTCCCTCTCAATGCCCTCTAGCCAGTGAACCTCCCTTCTGACAAGCAAGTCTAAGACCCAGGTGACAAGTGACTCTCTGCATTTGATTAGTCCTTCTGTCACTAATTTGCCTTTTTTTTCAGAAATTCTTGGTTTCTCCATCCAATTTTGCCATCTCTTTCCGTCCCTCAGAATATGAAGTCTCCATCTCAAGAAGCACAGTCACGGTGACGTGCTATCTGAATCCGGAAGAACCAATAGAATGGAAAAAAGATAATAAAGTGATACCTAATGAGAATAATAGAGAACTAATAATAGAGAGCTTTTCAGAATTGGAGGACAGCGGTTATTACACCTGCGCTAAGAGCAGCTCAGAAAAAGTGTATCTGTACCTGAAAGCTAGAGGTAAGAGGATCACTTCAGATGGCCATTCTCACCGACTTGCCCAACCCTCCCTGCAGTCCTCTGGCCTCTGAAGGCTTCCTCCCACAATCAGTCCTGGGTCCCTCTAAAGGCTCACAGATTAAACACCAACAGAGCTTTCTGAGTAACCTCAGTCAGCGCTAGGTCTAAAATAACTTTCCGAGACGCAGAGCTGGGTCAGCCGCGCTGGGTCACTCCCAGAAACAGTGGTGCTCCGGTATGAATTTACCCCATGCTCCATCCACAAACACTCTCTTCACAAAAATTTTCAAAAGAGATGCACATCTCTACTAAAAACCTCCACAAATAATCTGGCATGATAGCACACACTGTACCAACACTCAAGGGGCGGAGGCAGGAGGATTGGTATGAGTTCGAGGCCAGCCTGAGCTACACAGTGAGTTCAAAGCCATCCTGGAATAAATAGTTTCAAAAAAAATTTAAAAAGTAGCCAAGCATGGTGACAGATGCCTACAATCACAGCACTCAGGAGGCTGAGGCAGGAGGATCAAGTTTGAGGCCAGCCTGGGCTACGTAGTAAGTTCAAGGCCAGCTTGCATTAAAGCAAGACCCCCATCTCAAAAAGCCAAGAAAAGAAAACCAAATAAATATAAAAATAAATTAAAACCTCCTAAGATGAAGCGTAATGGATTGATGGTGGGGGTAACATTTATCAAGTGCTTATAAAGTTTCAAGCATGGTACCAAAACTCCCTACACTTGCTAGGGATTTTTTCCTGTAATGTTTCAGCAGCCTCGAGTTAAGTACTATTTATTTCCACTTGGTAGGTGAAGAAATAAAGCTTTTGGGGCTGGGGATTTAGCTCAGTGGCATAAACGCCTCCTTGCAAGCATAAGCGCCTCCTTGCAAGCAGGCAGTAGTGAATTCCATCCCCGGTACCGATAAAAAGGAAAAAGACACAAAAAAAAAAAAAGAAAAAAAAAAAGAAAAGAAAAGAAAAGAAACAAAGGTTTTGTGGATTGGAAATGCATTTCACAATTCCCATAACGAATGAGTATTGAAGCCTAAACTGAGGCTTGTTTTTATCCTTGTTGCATGGCCTCTGGCCATGGCCAGTGGCAAGTGTCAAGGGGAGAAGCTCCTTCACTTGTTCCCCCCTCCTCCCCAGTGTCCCAGGGGCCCCCCAGCTCACTTCTGTCTCCCACTCTGTCCCTGCAGTGTGTGAGAACTGCATGGAGGTCAACCTGACGGCCGTGGTCACGGTCATCATAGTGGACATCTGCATCACCCTGGGCCTGCTGGTGCCGGTTTATTACTGGAGCAAGAACAGAAAGGCCAAGGCCAAGCCTGTGAAACGAGGAACCGGGGCTGGGGGCAGGCCCAGGGGTAAGACCACAAGGCAGGGTCAGAGAGCATTCACACCGGTGGGACCAGCCTCGGTCAGGGCGGACCGAGAGGCCACAGCAAGGCCAGGCAGCTTCTTAGGAAGGTCTCCAGAAAAGCGTGACGGCGCTTTGCAGTAAGATGGTCTCTGCAAAAGCCTGTTCGTGCTGTGCGGAAGTCAGAGCCCATCCCTGAGCTGTGAAAGGGGGCCCCGGGGTGTTCCTGCCTTTTCCTTTCTCTCCCCCATGGAGAGAAGCAACAGGAGCAGCAGCAGGGCTGGGAAAAGTCACACACTGAAGCTGGGAGGCAAGAAAGAAACTCAGGGGCCCACCCTGCAACCCCAGCACTCGGGAAGCTGAGGCAGGAGTTCAGCCCCCCCCTCACCCCCGCAACTTAGTGATTTAGACCCTGACTCGAAGGTGGGGCAGAGCTCAGTGTGAAGGCCTTGAAAAGAAGAAAGGAAGAAAGAAAGAGAGAGAGAGAGAGACAGAGCCAGGGCATTAATAAAGGAGACACAGAAAGGGAAACAAAGGGGCTGCCATCCCTGAGCTCATGTCATGACAGCTGTCACCCCCCAAGATTACTATTCCTTCATGGGGGGAAACACACTTTTATCCTCCCTCCTCTACAGGACAGAAAGAGAGGCCACCACCGGTTCCCAACCCGGACTATGAGGTAAGGGGTGGGTAATGGGTGGGAGGCTGGGCTCGGTGTGTCTTTCTAAGGGGCACAGGAACAGCTAGCTAGCTGTGCCCATCACATCTCCAGATACTTCAGAGCTCCTCACACAGGGCTCCCCGGACAGCCCACCCTGTGCCACCTCTGCCTCCTTCAAGGCAGAGATCATCACAAAGCCTGTTTGGCTCCCACAAGGCCAGAGAGAAGGAGTTGAGGCTCTTCCTTCCTTGGCTTATATGCTGGCTGGAACACAGTCATGGAAAACACCTCCTATGTGAGATCTAACATGACAAGGTCAGGGCTGACAGTCCACCGGCATGCACCATGGCACTCCACCAGTTATTAAAATATGAGAATCTTTCATTGGCCAAGAGCCCAACTTCCCTTCACCCCACCCCCGTACTCTATCAGACAAGATAGGCTCTACCCCACTGGCTGCCTCTTAATTTGCAGTTAAAGCCCTAATTCCTGGCAGGGGGCAGGACCACTAGCATGGTTCTCAGGGTTAGGGAGAACCATGCCACTTGTTAAATATTTTAACTATGGTACCTGGTAAACTCAAGAAATATTTACCCAGTGCCAGCAAAGCCCATGGTATTTACTTTTCCATTCTGATCCCGCCAGAAGCTCTGAGGAGCAAGCCTTTAGACTGAGTCCCCTTTGTGAGACCCAAATGTTGCTCACAGGGGATGGTAGCAGGCTCAAGTCTTCTACCTGCCCTGCAAGCGTGGATTTCAAAGCTGCCTCCCAGCTCCGAGCTCCGAGTTCTTTTCCACCGCACCGCACCTACCTCTTGAGCACCCTTCTTCCTTCCTGCTAATCATCCTCCCTGCCCTGCCCCTAGCCGATCCGGAAAGGCCAGCGGGACCTGTACTCCGGCCTCAATCAGAGAGGAGTCTGACGGCACCAGAGGACCATGCCCAGGCCCGGCTCTCCTGGGCACCCTGCTACTCTTTGTCCCCCAGACAAGGCCTGGACCCCTCAAAGGAATTGCTCTTCAGCCTCACGATGCGTTCACGCCCTGCAACCTCATCCCTTGCTTGCCTCTTCCTGTCTTCCCCGCTGGCATCCAGTCGGAGGCTATTGTGGCTCTGTTGTCCTTTAAAGCAGCACGGCTAGTCAGGCCCTCACACCGGGCCTGCCCTCTTGTCAGTGTATTTATTTCTTTTATTCACTCTCTGCTGACTTTCTTTCCCAGACATGGATGTTACTTCTGCCCTTGATTCCCTCCTTTCCCTCCGTAAAAATTGCCCCTTATCCTTAAGTGTCCCATACAACTCGCTATTTTTCCAGTTCTCTCTTTTATAACCTTCTGTGGGGATGAACTGAGGAAATGTTGGTAGAGACCCTGCCCATTCGCAGATCCTGGCCCAGAGTCCACCCTGAGTCCCCTCCCTGGTATCCACTGGAGCCACTGAGTGGTCATTTGTATTTCAGTGTATGTACCAGGCTCTCCTCCTCTAACAGAGAAAAACAATAAAGTGTACTTGGCTGAAAGAGTTGCTGTCTGTTTCCTGGGTGGTTCTGAGTGGCCACTTATGTCCTAAGACAACTCAGGTTCATCCCACTTCAGTGCCTGCAGTGTGACCCCCAGTGCAAGTACAGCCCGTTTTCCCAGCTGGTGGAGCCATTACCTGAAGCTCCTTGGAGAGAAAAATAGGAAAAGAGAGAGAGAGGAAATTTAACTAACTCTTCTTGTAGGAAAACAGCAAAGATGTCAGGGAGTGACTGACAGATTCCTGATGGAGCTGTCAGTTCATAAAATGGGTGGGACAGCCGGGTGCCATGGCACACACCTGTAATCCCAGCACTCACAAGGCTGAGGCAGGAGGGTCATTGCAAGTTCAAGGTCACCCTGGGCTACAAAATGAGCTCAAGGCCATGAGCTGAACTGACTCTGTCTCAAACACACACACACACACAAAATGAGTGAGACAGAAACACAACCCACGAAAGGCAGAAGTGACAAAAGAGAAGGGTGACAAAAGAGGAGGTGTGAGGGGACCTGGGGAATGGGACAGGGTTTCCATAATGTGCCCCGGAGAGAACTGAGTGGGGCTGGAAGAAGTGGAGGAAGGAGGTCTCCCAGGCAGAGCGCCCCTCTCCCACGCGGAGGCAGCTGCTCAGCGAGGCGGCTGTGGTGAGGCCACACAGGATGTGGGCTGTGCAGGGAGCCAGCCCGCAGCGGCAGCCTGGTGCCCGAAGACCGGTGTGGGAAGACCTCGTCCTCCAGCATGCACTTTGCTTGCACAGAGGAGGGTGGAACACGAAGCAGCTCAGCCCAGCTCCAGCCAGCAGGCTCTCTCCCCCCAGAAACCTCCTGTTGGCCACAAGGCTATTTATGTATATGACCACAGCACAAGAGGCCCTTTTTGATTAGGAGCCCTTCACCTAATGCACACATTCAGCCTTGGCCTTGTGGCTACAGCTTTTTACCTGTCATCCCCATTGAAATGTCACTTGAAGTACCAACTCTTTTGCTCTCAGTGATGTTGCTCACCACTAGCTGCTGGGTGGGAGGCTGGCCTGAGGGGGGCAATTTAGTCCTACATGTATTTGATTATGTTCAGATGGGAGAAGACACGGCTCAGCCTGACAAAAACAAAAACAGCTAATGTTTATTGAGCATTTACTGTCATTTGAGTTTATCTAGCAGCTGTACCTAGCGCTTTACAGGTATCACCTCATTTTGTCTTTACGATAACTCTGTGAGATTGATGTTGTCATCCTCATTTTGCAGACGGAGGCAGCGAGCTAAGAAAGATTAAGTCTCTGCACAGGTCACAGTGAGAGGCTTGGCTAGAATTAGCAGCCAAAAGTTCGCCAACATAGTCTTGCAATACCTTCCCAGTACTGACCGTGGCCATCAGGAGTCCTTTCCACGCTATCTAACATCCTTGAAAAGACGGATGGAGGGGTAGAGGTTGGAATTCTGAGATTTCCTACTTTGGGCAGAGGCAGAGTAATGCAGGATAAAGGCAAATACAGGAGGAAAGAAAGATAGCAGTATGTCAGGGCTGTGGGTTGTAGCTAAAGCTAGGAGGGGTCCACACGACAGAAGGATCACAGACCTGTACTGAGACGCAGGGTGGCAGGGGACACAGGGAAAAAGAGGAATGTAAAGTAAATGGATGAAAGAAAAGATTGATTTCTGCCACTGGCTAAGATGGAGCAAGGAGAGTTGGATCTGTCTTCCTGCCTAAAAAAACTAAAACACAAGACGAGATAGGTTAAAACAAATTTTAAAATATTCAGTACCGGGCAACAATGGAAGATGAGCCCCAGTGACAGGAAAGGAGAGAAACCTTAATATTGCTTCAGCTTACGACCTAGAAACAGTTTCTGGGCGTGGTGCAGGAAGAGAGAGCTACACAGAGCCCCAAGATTACCCTGAGGTCAGCAGACAAGGATGGAGACCAGAGTCCCACAGTCTGTAGGAGAAAGTTCAAGGAAGGAGTGAGCTGCCCAGGGAGAGCTCCAGCGATCTGGGGTGCTCAGCTTATCACGGAGCATACACCTGGGTCCAGAGCACCCATCCCTTACTTTTATAATGAAAATTTGTATTTTAGCATTTTAGTTGTTGGCTGTAGTTTCAGTACGTTTCCCTGGGGGACAGGGAAGTCATCTATGTGTTCACCTACTTGGTACAGCAAAGGAAACTAGTGTACGTGTGTGGAAAAGTAGAATTTGGACCCAATCTTATGACCTATCTCGCTGGTTTTACATATGCTTACCTGAGCATCACAGAGGCTCCAATAGACCCACACCACTCCAGGATTTGTTAAAAAAAAAAAAAAAAGTTTTAATTTTTTTTTAGCAAAGTAGCCCCTTCAGTACAAAGGCACATGGGAAATCAGATTTGCAAGTTTGAGAAGCGGTCAACAGACAATCATCACATTACTCATGCGTGGATGATAAAGATGGTCCATTATGGTAAAATATACACTTTCATAACAGCAGAGCAGGGTGAGTGGGTGATCATCAAGATCATAAGGATGATCTTGATGATGACTTCGACATTGGCCACGGGAGTCAGAGTTCCTGTGACAGTGAAATGGAGCAAGAATTGACTGATATAGACAAGAAGAATGCAGACCTCCTTGATGCAGATGACTGAAAAACCAGCAGTGTGACATTTTTATTGACTGTAAAAATGTTGAGAAATGGCCATGCAACCAACTGAGCGATCCAATGTTAGAACCAGGTCCAAAAACATAGTGAGGGTCTTGGCAGGGGTGGGGTATATTGGGCAGAATGCCAGCACTGCCATTTAATGTTGGAAACTGTAATAGATGAGCTGCTGCAAAATGCTGTGAAATACAAGTAAAATGTTCTATGGGCACCAATAGCCACAGTCAAAAATGTATTTATTATGACACCTCATTAGCCAAGCTGAAAGCATTCATAAGCCTGCTGTGCTTAGCACAAATTTCTTATGGTGATCACAGGAATGTAAAAGACATGAGGAAAAGTGGTAGATTAAAATATGGCGTAAACAGTTATACCTTTGTAGATCTGAAGACTTACCGTGCTTTCACTTTAGACATTTATCCTGGAACCCAGCCATCAGGCCTTTATTCATATAGGAATAAAACCAAACAGTTTTGCAAACAGACTTGTTGCTCTCATCTCCCAAATGAATGAGGCTGTGACATTTAAGAATTGGATTAATGGCTTCCAAATAATGTCACTTTTGCTAACAGAACATAAGTTGACCAGCCCATAAACTGTACAGAGGACCAAAGCAGAGATTTCATTTTAAGTGCTGCAACTCTATAGTACAATCTTGGATTTCAGAAAGACATAACATTAGCCTCGTATATGCCAAAGAAAACCAAACTGGTACTGCTGATGTCAATGTTTCACCGTGATGGAAATATTGACAGAGAAACCTCAACAACAAAGTTTGAGATAGAAACTTTCAATGGGAAAATCAAAGGTGGAGGAGATGTTGTTGATGACTTATGTAGCAACTATGATGTCATTTAAAACCCAAAACATTGGCCAGTGTTTGTGTTTTACTCAGTCCTAAACACGTGTGGCATAAATACATTGACAGCTTACAAAGAAAATAACAAGTGAAAAATATCACGAAGAAATTTTCCTAGAGGATTGAGACTAGAGCTCATAAGACATTGTTGACAGCAGAGAAAAAATAAAATGCTTCTGCCCAGGGAGCTATGTAAAAAATCAGGGCGCATCCTGGGGAGCTGACAGGTGACCAAGCAGGCACAATTCCACAAAGACCTCCGCTGACAACAGGAAAATAAAAAGGACGATGCCAACTGTGCCCTATGAGAAAGTACAGAAAAGCATAACACACACGCCTATCAGTGTCAGGAATACTTGTGTATGAACACACAATTGTCGCGTGTGCAGACTGCCTTGGGGTGACGGTTGAAACCAAAGTTTATTTTTATATTGTGGTTCTATTGGTATTTTCACTGTAGTTCATATAGGGATTTATTTCTGTTATATTTTAGGTTTTGTAAGCAATTACACAGATGATGTGAAAACACTGACGTCTATTCTATATGCACAATACATATTAAAGATTTAGTAATTTACTTTATTGATATTTTTATGTTCCTGTTAATTGCATTGTGTATTACAATAAGAACTTCCTGACAAAACAGCAAGAGCACTGAGATGTCAAGCATGTCCTATAAAAGACCAGAAAAGCAAAAGCCACGTGCTCTCAGTGTGAACAGTATGTGTGTGTGGAACAGACTGTTGTCAGGTGCGATAACTGAAGTAAAGATTTTTTGTAGAGTACTACTGGTATTTTCATTGCAGATTATGTGGAAATTTATTTTTGATGTTCTTATTTTAGACTTTGCATACCAAAAACCAATCAATGTTGAAAATGTTGATTCTTTTTTATACACAATAGATATTAAAAACTCAATATTTTATCTTTATAATTTTTACTGCCGAGGGCAGTTTGTTTAATAAAACTCATTAAATTAATAATGCACCAATAGACAAATGCACCTTGATTACAAAATTAGCCTTACACTCCATTAAGAGTGATTGGTATATACTTGAGAGGAGATTACAAGAAAAAATTTCCTGAAAGCATTAGAGAAATCGGGCCAGGGATTTAGCTCAGTGACACAAGCACTTGCTTGGCAAGCACAAGGTCATGAGTTTGATCCCTGGTGCCAAAAAAAAAAAAAAAAAAAAAAAAAAAAGAACTGGAGGAAACTTTGGGCCTCATACAGATTGAAAATCATTGCTACGCCCTCATAATTCATAAAGGCATTAGAAGAACTGTGTGTTCATGTGACAGAAGAGGACAAGTGATCTCTTTGGGGTCTCTTTTATATGGGCACTAATCTCAATAATGAGAACCTCATCCTCATGGCAAAATCACCTCGGAAAGGCCCCACTTCCTAATGCACATGGGGGACTCAGGATTTCAACATTCAAATTTGGAGGGAACTCAAACATTCAGTCCATAACAGTTACGAACAATTTTGTACTGATGAATTTAACAACTTGGGTGTCAGGCCCTTATTCATACAGGGTGAGATTGGCACATTCCTTAATAAAGCTCACTGAAGATGGGATAGATAACTTAAATAGCCCTTTACCTATTAAATAGATTGAATCTGTAGTTTAAAACATCCCTACAAAGAAAACTTCAGATTAGGATGACTTCACTGGTAGAAGATGAAATCTATCAAACATTGAAAGGAAGAAATAATGTCAATTCTGTACGAAGTAATCCCTCCAGGAAATTAAAGAAGCAATACTCACAAATTGTTCCACAGAGACCGGATTTACCCTGTGTTAATCCATCCTAGTTAACTGTGTGTGTCAGCTTGGGTAGGCCAGATACATTCATTCTGTCACAAAATCACAATCTGCTTATATCTCAAGGAGATAGTGGCCAGAACCATCAAGGTTTCTGATCAAGTGGATGTCACCTCTTTGGAAACTTGAGTGTAGAAAACTCCTATAATAGTAAGCTTTCCTGAAGTTCTTTAAATTATTTGTATATTCGGAGAACAAAAAAAAATCCTGGTTGTAGGATCTGGGAAGGGACAAGGGACACCAGAGAATAAATGACCTCTATTCTTCCTCTTAACCAGAGGCTTTGAATGCTGCTTCAGAGTCACTTGGGAACCCCACTCCTAAAGCAGGGCCCAAGGATCTACATTTTTATTTAATGATTCTCTCAGACTCCCAGAGTTTGAGAACCATCACTAACCCGCTGGCTAGAGAAGACACCTACTGAAAACTTCCCAAGCCCCTCTCAGTCTCAACCCCAGTTTTCCAAGCAGTTTTCCAAAGCAATGAGGTGCCTTAATTGATGAAGACTTTCTCTTTCTAGTTTATCCTGCAGAAGGCTGGAGCAAGGCAGGAAAGGTCCTGGGAAAAAAACAAAATGGCACCTTCTCCAGAGGGAAAGGAGAGAGCTTTGTATCTCCTGGCAGCTATTCAACAGAGACGTAAGGTCACAGCCAGCCCTTTAAGAGCAGTGAGACTTCGCAGCACACACCCTCTGAGCTGTGATGGAAAGCAAGTCGCTGAGCCCCTTGATGTCTCTGCCTCCCCCCGCTCATGACGTCATGGAAACTTCTCTGTGGCGAGGTTTCTGAACACAGCAACATGCTCTCGGAAGGCTTACGATAGGAGACTAGTCAACAAGTAGCAGATCGAGCATGGAGGGGAGATGTCACCCAGGAGACCCATTGGGCTAGAGACACCAGTGGTCAGGACATGGCGGGAGACAGCCCATCACACTGTCCACATAGGGCAGAAGGGAGGAGATGGAGGAAGGACTTAGGTGGGCAAGGTCCCAGCCACTTCAGGACAGCTCTCATGCCCTGCCCAAGAGCCTCGAGAAACACAGGCATCCACGGAGTGGAAGAGAACGTCTTTATTGGCCAAGCAATCAGGGTTGGCACAGTCTGGGAGGTGCTTCTAGAAGCCACTGGCCTTGAGGTCATTTGCCCCGATGCCACTTTTCTCCAAGACGGCTGTACTGAGCATCCTCACGATCTCGGAGGGGCTAAGAGATGAGAAGGGAAGCACTGAGTCAGGTCAGAACTCTCCCCCAAAGAGTTCCAGCAGGTCCTGGAGTTGACAGCTTGCCCCTGCCCTCTCCGGTAATGAGTTCCTCACTGAGACGCTTTGCACTACACACGGCCCAGCCTCTCCGCCCCCACTCACTCCTCCTCCCGTTCCTGCCTCTTCCCTGCACACTCACCTGATAAAGCTGGTCATTCTTCAACAGGGCTTGAGTGTCGGCAGCTGAAAGAGCCAGAAAAGAGAATTACTAAGGGGTGGCAAAGAAGGGACAGTGAGATTCACCAGCACTGTGGCAGGTCATGCCTTTCACACCCTCAGAATTCTTCATGCACAACGTGGGCACATGCGTGCTTCTAATAACCCTGGTAGGAGTCTACAGGCATTGCAAGAATCACTCTCAGGTGATACCATACAGCTGGTGCAGGCGCTCAGTGGTACATGCACACACACATGCACAGACACACACACGTTCTGCTCTTCGACTAACCCTCAGAGGGCCTTCCGGTCTCGTGTCCTGCAAAGCAGTAGACTCCCAAAGCAAGGAGCAGAGTGGCGATGATGTCAGTGATGATGATGCCAGCAAGAGTGCCAGAGTCCAGCTCTACACAGTTCTGGCACACTGTGGAGAAAGAAGGGAGAGGGGAGGGCTAGATAGCTTTCAAGACTGGGGAATGACCCCACCTGCTGCCCTCGGATCTCTCATGACAAGACCCAAACTTCAGTAGGACGCAGAGAGAAAGGTGGCTGGTGACCTTGCCACTTGATTCTCTTTTTCCTCATCCCAAGGAATTCTTGAAGAGAAATCAAGAAGTCCTCTCAGCCTGGAAGACCTCAGGCTGAGTGGTGGGCTACACCTTCCCCCCAGCCGAGCCTCAGGAACAAGGCCTCTGCTGCTCAGCCTGGCTGAGTTAAGCACTCGCTCCCACTCCGCAGCCCCCTAAATCTGGCTAACACCATTGCAAGGGGGACCTCAGCTCGTTGAGAGAATGTGTTGGTGCACCACATCCCCTTCTAGCCGGAAAGCTCTCACACCCCCACCACTCGGTCCAGGGGGTCCAAGAGCACGTACTTCGATAATACACTTGCACAGTAGATTCTTTCTTGGCATTGTCGTCTGTCCCCAAACACATATACAATCCTCGTGGATCCAGGAGGCGGCTTCCCAAGTCCAGACGGGTACCGTTTTCTTGCCGTATCCCTACAGTTCCTCCCAGCCACTGGACAGTGGTATTGCAACTCACAGACACTCTGTCCTCATTTTCCTCCACAGGTATCTGGAAGGGCTTCACTAAGGGAAAAAAGTACCACAGTCAGAGACAGCTAGAGGTGTGCACTGTCCTCCTTGTTCCGCCGGGGACTACCATGGTAGTGTGGCTCAGGCTACAGCTTCTAGTGGAAAGGGGCAGGAGCGACAACAGGAAGCTTCTAGAAGTTCCCTATGACCCACAGAGGCCGGGAAGGACAAAGCAGAGGACAGGTCCCAAGTGACTTGGGGTAAAAGAGAAAACCATGAAGCTGGCTTGATTCAAGAACCTTCCTGAAAATGAGCTCAGACCACTGCTTAGAAGTAGAAAGGGAAGCCAGGGATGGTGGCACATGTCCGTAATCCCAGCACTCAAGAAGCTGAGGCAGGAGGAGCACAGTGAGTTCTGGACTATATAGTGAGTTCAAAACCAGCCTGACTGCATAGACCCTGACTGCATAGACCTTGTCTCTAAAAAAAAAAAAAAGCAAAAAATAGAGCTGGGCATGGTGGTGCACACCTGTAATCCCATCACTTGGAAGGCTGAGGCAGGAGAATCGTTGCAATTTTGAGACCAGCCTGGGCTACAAAGTGAGCTCAAAGCCAGCCTGAACTGCATAGTGAGACTCTTTCTCATAAAGAATAAGTAAATAAATAAAGTAAAAAATAAAGGCAGAAGGGGAACATAGATTGCTAAAGCCTCCCACAAGATAAGGAAAGGCAGGAAACTGTTCCTAGGTTGGAGATGTCTGCATTTTTTTTACTAAAAATCGCCTAATTCTACTGCAACTTCTGTCCTCTCCTCTTCCCATTGCTTCTACCTGGCATCTCACGAGGGGATGGCACACTCAACACTAAGGGTCACAGCGACTGAGGCAGGAAGGCCTGGGGAAGAACTTCCAACTCAGGTCCAGATTCACCAGGGCGAATCTCATGAAAGACTTTGCAGTTGCTCTACACTTTGTTAAGGAGAGAAAGACAGAAAAAAAAAATTGTTTATCAAATCCGCTCCCGAAGCTCTGCATACAGTTCAGGTCTTAGGGGACGTGTAAAAGCCAGAGGTGAACATAATGCTTTTCTAGGTCCGCTGACCTGCACTGGCAGCCCAGGAGCATCTCTCCAGCCCACAGAGATACTGGTATCCACACCACTCATGCCAGGAAACAGTGCAGTCTGTGTTCACCCTGAGCTTCCTACGCAGCAGCAGTTTGGACATGAGAGCGTCGTCCAGAAAACTGCAACACAGCTGCTTCTCACGCCTCTGACTCGGAGGGAGCCCATGCACGTATGCTCAGGGAGACCCACAGACATCTAGCTTCACCTTCTACAGCCATCCTTGGAGCTGTTTGCAGTGAAGCGCCTGAGGGTCCCAGGGCCACTCTTCGGGTAACCATCTGACCTAGCTTGCCTGAGAATGAGGCGGTTCCCAGGACATGAGATTTCCCAGAGGTTTTTGTTTTCTTTTCGTTTGCAGTGTTCTGCCACTGATCTATGTTCCCGGTCCAGTTTTCACTCTTATCTTTTTTGGGGGGAAGTGGGGGCCAGAGTCTCATTATGTTACCTAGACAGAGCTCAAAGCATCCACCTGCCTCAGTCTCTCAAGTAACTGCAATTTTGTTTTAAAACCAGGCAAATTGTGATGAATTGGCATTCCACTGAGAACACAGTCATTTCCTACCTACTCCAAATCCATCTTTTCTCGTAAAGCATTCCCTGAAGTGGTCACATAATAGTGGTCACATAATGGTGACCAAACGAACACGAGTCCAGACCCCCGAAGCCATCTGTTGCAGAAGCAATGTATGTAGCTGTGCTCCAGCCCTAGGCTCATATATCCACATACCGCACAGGTTCCCACAAACCCCTGGGCAAAGGCCACCTGAAAGACACTCAAGGCCAATGCAGGCCACGGCCAAAGTAGGGGAAAGCCAAGCTCTGTTTCCTCCTTTGCAGTTTTGCCCAGAGTGGCTGGTGAACTGAAATTAGCTTTGCAAATCACTTCCAGTGGCCCCCACTGCCAGTGCTCATGTCCCTCTTGGGTCCTTTCCTGGACTGAGGAAGTTGTGCTTACCTTGAGGGAGAAGGGCAGCCAGGACCAGGCCAGTCAGGAATCTGCTATGTTTCATCTTTCAGCAGAAGTCATCCAGTCGACAGAGCCAGATCCCGGAACTACCAGCTGGGGTGCAGATGAACCTCCTCCAACTGACTCATGGGTATGCGGAAAAAGTGAACAGTAGCAGAGGAACAAGAAGATGGCTCTCTCTCTCTGCCTTTCAAGATGAGAGGCCATCAAGGGAGGTAGGAAGGAAGGAAACAGGTGTGCATTTGCTCTTTCTCTGAGCAGAGAGGTTGGGGGTGGGGCTGAAGGCAGAGGATATGGAGAAAGTGACCTAGACTTTTAGGAGCTGAAAGGAGTTTTAGGACAGCCTTCCCAGAGTCATTACAAAAAATGAGAACTTTAGAGTGTCTATTGGAGGCAAAACTACATTCGTCTCTCGCCTGAAAATTGCCACCTCTCAAAATCCCAGAGAGAAGCGATGAGCCCCAAGGCACAAGCCATTTCAGCTAGGTTCCTCCTGTGGCTGGGCTTTCTCAGGACCCTTCACCAGGCAGCCTGAACACCCAAGAAGCAGCTTCTAGCCAGGAGGAAGCTGGACTTTAGAGCCACACACACAATTTGAATCCTGGCCCCAATACTTGGTACCCACAGGGCCCATCCAAGAAGTTTTCTGAGTCTGATTCTTGGAGTATCATTGTAAGGATTTTTAAGTCTGGAGGATGCCTGCCACAGAAATATGATACTATGAAGTAGTTTTTAATAACAATATAATTGACTCAAGGTAAATTTGAACTTCCCCAAAAGACCATGAACCTTCCCTCCACACCAGACAAAAGGGAATCTGAAGCTCCACACTGCCCCTGGCCCTGGGTCATGTACCTGAGGACAGAGCCAGGTCAGTCTTGCTCTCTTTTTATCTCATGCCAAGCATGTAATAAGAATTCTGTGATTTATTGATTTATTGACTGGCTAAGGGAGACAGGGGCCCGAGATCCAAGAAACTCAGGTCCTGCCCAGCCACCCCCACCCCTACTCGCACCCCCAAATGTGGAGAAATGTGCTGGTTGGAACTGTCCCACTTTATCCCTTCCAGGCAAGCACCACTCTGATGATATCAAAGAAACAGTGACAAAAGCCTTTAATGAAGGCAGGGACTGAAGGGCTTTTCCATTTGTGGCCTTAACCCCCAGCACCGGAGCATCCAGTCTAAATTCCTAAATTCATCAGTTCTAGCATCTAGTGACAACTGGCTGTATTCTTAGCAACAACTACGGGTGGGAACATTTATCTCCTTCCTCTGGAGAAGGGCTCAGGCTCATCCCCCAACCCTGCATTATGAAGAGGTTCTCAGATCAGGCCTAGTTCTCTGCGTGGGAATCCGGCCCTCCCTCCTGCTCCCTTCAACGGAAAAGCAAAAGGCATGCACACCTGCAGTCCTGCTGAGGCCCCTGCAGGCCACACTCAGAGCAGAGGGTGGAGGCAGTGGGTTCTTTCCTTGTCTCAGGGGCCCAGCCCGAAGGGTGCTGGGCGGAGCCAGGCTGGTGCTGCACAGGATGCTGGCCAGGAAGGGCTGAACTGCACTTCTGCTTGGGGAGGACAGAGACTGACATGGAGCAGGGGAAGGGCCTGGCGGGCCTTATCCTGGCGGTCATTCTTCTCCAAGGTAAGAACCGCTATGGGTCTGGCAGCCTGAGGGAGTCTGGGAAGAGGTCATCTCCCTGAAGATGGGGATATTGATATCCTAACCTTGAACCGACCTCAGCTATCACCTTAGAACTCAAAGGAAAGGTACAAATTAAGCCTCTTACTGTCCTCTGCTGGGGAGAAGCAGAGCCCAGAGGAGAGATAAGCTTCTTCTCTCTGAGAAGTCAAGGCAGAGATCTTAACTAGCTAGAGAGAAGCCCTACTGCCGCCATTTTAAGCTTGAGTATAGCCCCAAATGGCACAGGCAAAGAAACTGAAAGGAAATAAGTATCTGTTCTCTGATCCAGAGTGGAGCTAGCAGTAGTATTCACTCACTGAGTTGGTCAGTTGGTCAGCTGATCAAAAGTATGAACGAGATCCTAGTATCCAGAAGGATAAAAAGACGAATAACAAGTTTTTGCTCTGAGAGCTCTTAGCCTAACTGGAGAGTTAGGTTTCAGTGTGGCCACATTGAGCACAAGGTACAGTATGAGGCGCTTGTACAAAATGTCTAGTTCAAATGTAAAGCTCCTGTCTGTCCTAGGCATCCAGCAGAAATGGATAAACTAAGATTGACACTGTTCTCTGGAAGCCCTGGGGGAGGCTAAAACCATAAATGTTCTTGAAATCACACAAGTACTATGTGATATGTGAGGAAGAAGGGGACTGTAAGGTATCACATTTTAAGGGGTAATTACTGGAGGAAAAAACTCTCAGCAAAAAAAGAATGATCATAAGCTGTAATAGGTGAGGCTGGGGATTTAGCTCAGTGGTACAGTTCCTACCTGGCAAGCACAAGGTCCTGAGTTCCATTCCCAGAACCAAAAAAAATTATAATAATCACATGAGAGATTTTGGAAACCAAGGAAGCAGAAAGCTTCTAGGAGAAAATTAGCAAGAGTCTAAAAGTTAAAGAGGCCCTACTAATATAAGAATATATTTAAAATTTGCTTACGGCATTTGGCAAAATAAATGTCACAGGTGATTTAGAAGCGCTTTGGCGGGGTAGTATAAGTGGAAGCCAAATGGATGAATACAAAAATAAAGGGCAAGTGTTAGCAAGAGGTATAGACTGTTCTGGAAAGAAATTTGGAGTCATAGGTAGAGAAGGCAGTAGAGTCCGAGATGTTTTTTGGAGAATAAGAGAAACCTGGGCGCATTTCTGTGGAAAGGAGACAGCCAGGAGAGCAGGGCCTGGCATTGATGTTGAAGGACAGCACTAAGAGTGGCCTTGAGGGCAGGACAGAAGGGCAGGGTAACCCCTGAGGCCACCAGAAAGGAAGTGCAGCCAGCTCCAGCCACAGGTCAACTTGTAAGCAAAAGTAAGCTGAAGGAGACAGGGCCCCAACAACACGCGGGTTCTCCAGCAATGAGGTGGGGACAAAGCCCGCTGCTGAATCTGAGCTGGGAACTGGCTGAGTGGAAGACCTGAAGATCCCAGAGGAGTGCAGAATTATTGCTGAGAGAAAAAGCTGGAGGAGCCAGCTAAAGAAAGCACAGGTTGGAGGGCGGTGCCGGGGGCCTAGAGGTGGCTGGGCACAGCGGGAGAGCACAGGGTTGAGAACCAGAAAGCAGAGCTCCGGTCCAGCCCAGCCTTGGGCGAGCTGCGTGCACTTGAACAACATCTCCGCTCTTAGCTCAATTTCCACCCTGCTCAACCCAGAAATTTGGGCTGCACAAGTTCTCGAGTTCTAAAAGGAAACAGCACAATTTTTAAATGTCAGCTCTCAGTGCCCGATACTTGCCTGTAGAATCCAAGGCCCCTTTGTCCTTGTCCTCCTGTAGTGACCAGGTCGTTGGGGAGAAGGGATAGTAAGAAATGTGCTTGACTGCTAGTTGTGGTTTTTCTTTTTTATTTATGGTTTGATTCAACAAATGTAAAGCTCCCGTCTGTCCTAGGCACTGCGCTCAGCCCCGGACCACGTTCCCATATTCCCACCCGACCTCTCCCCATCAACACGCCCCCTCCAGCCACTCTATTCCTGTTGCCCGTATTCCAATTGCTCAGCTATACGTGTACCCAAAATATCTTTCTCTGTTGGATGAATTCTAACCTGTTCTTCAAGATTCAGCCAAATGTCACCTCGTTTATTAAGTTTTCTCTGATCCTCACCATTTGACAAAACCAATACCATATATTCCCTTTCATCTGCATTCATATAAGTAACGAAAAATAAGTTCTATTGTGTTAATTATATGTTTCTTCTTTGCACTTAATTTTAAATTCCTTAGAAGTGCAGCCAATTCTCCATATCACCACTGTCTGCTTTCACAATACCTAATCCTGCCAAGTCATGTTATTTCTCATAAAATATTTGGCTATTACAACGATACATTCATATCTGTTTCTAACAGCACAATTTGTGACAATTCAATCTTAGACGCAGTTTATGTGTCCATCAACAGATGAGTACATAAAAAAAAAATATGGTATTTGTACGCAATAGTGTACTAGACTGCCATAAAGAAAAATTTGAGTCACTTATAGGAGGGTGGGTGCACCCTGAGACCGTAATAAAATAAATCAAACATGTCACATGGTTTCTGTTATATGAGGTTCTTCTAATTTTTTTTTTTTTTTTTTTTAGTACTGGGGATCAAACTCACAACCTCCATTTGCCAGGCAAGTGCTTATGCCACTGTACTAAATCCTCATGCCTTGTTTCTCTTATATGAGAAGCCTAAGATACAAATCAAGCAAAATAAAAAGATAGATAATAGGAAGTAAGGAGATAGATCCTTCTCAAATGGGATCAAAAGGTAGAGGACAGGGGAGGAAAAAAAAGAGAAGAGGGGATAAAACAGGACTTACGATGTGTTCTGCACAGGTACCACCTCCCCACAAGGACATCATGTACTGCAAACACGTACTAATAAAAATAAAAGTTAAAAAATAGGAAAAACTCTACTTGAATTTTTGTGCTAGGTCTCTGTAGAATTCTGCAGCGTAACTCTGCTGCTCTGAGTTTGGGACAGTGTGAATAGCTAACTTTTCTGGGACATCCAGGGTGTCTATAAGAAATAGATTGGAGGTGTTGTTCAAGGTTGGATATTTTAGAAATAACTCAGCTCTGAAAGACTGTGTCACCAGGTGGGGTAGTGCATGCCTGTGATCTCAGCACTTGGGAGACTGAGGCAGGAGGATTGCTGTGTGTTCAAGATCAGCCTGGACTATGCAATAGTTCGAGGCCAGTCTGAATTACATAGCAAGACCCTGTCTCAGAAAACAAAACAAGCCGAGGATTTAGCTCAGTGGTATAAGTGCCTGCCTGGCAGCTGTGAGGTCATGAGTTCAATCCCTGGTACCAAAACAAAACAAAATAAAAAAGACTCAAAAACAAACAAACAAAAAAGGCATCTCTAAGGTACACCCCCTCCTCACCAAAGCTTTAGGAGTTAAAGGAGGAGAACATTCTGGATGGTATAGGCAACACTTTTACATATACTAGAATCCAAATTTGTTTTTTTTTTTTTGCTTTGTTTTGTTTTGTTTGTTTGATTGCGGGGAGAGGAATTATGGGGATCAAACTCATGATGATCTTGCGCTTGCCAGGCAGGTGCTTATCCCGGGCCCCTGCAATCCAGTTTTGATGCTGATTCCCCAGAGTTGGTATTCCTCACATTAAAGGTGGGATCCCAACAAGATTGCCCTCCCTGTAAATGCCAATCACCAGCACAAGAATCCCCAGACCACTCATGCTTCTGACAAATTGGCTGTACCTCCAGGGGCTTTTCACACTGTAAGTTTTATGACTCGCTGGAATGACTCACAGAACTCCGGACCGCACTTTACTTACTGATAGAACTTTACTATGTAAGAAATGAAATGAAGACCAATGAAATGAAAAGACAGCAAGGGCGTGTCCTGCACTCTCCTTAGAGACGTCGCCCTCCCTGACACTGAAGTGTGGTTCACCGACTAGGAAGCTCCATCAGCTTTTATCTATGTGTATAGAAATGACTAACTTAATCATTTGCCACTTAACTGAATTTAATCTCTAGCCACTCTCCACCCAGGGCTATTGTCAGTGGCTTCAAAGCCCATTCCTGTAACCATTTGGTTGTTCTTAATCAGCCCCATTGTAAGTCATCTCCTCCGCATAAACTCCACAGGATCTAAGTGTCCTCCATGAATAACAAGGCACTCCCAGACTTATGAAATCCCATGGTTTAGAAACTCCCACCCAGGAAGCCAGACAAAGACCAAAGAAATTATTATTTTTTTTTTTTAAACAGTACTGGGGATCGAACTCACAACCACCTGCTTGCAAGGCAGGTGCTTATGCCACTGAGCTAAATCTCCAGCCCCTCGAAGAAATTCTTGAGTATCACTTTGCTTTTAATTTGGTGAAATTAGGTACAGATACTGTCATCATGAGTTAGGCCCTCTCCTGATCTTGACCTCGACCATCACATCACGGGAATACCAAAAGAACTGGAACAACCCATAACTGACCTTCTATCTCTCTTCTGCCTCCACAGGTACCAAAGCCCAGAAGAAATTAGGTAGGAGAAATGGCTTCTTTCTATCCTTAATCCCTGAGGAAATGCATGCAGTGTTGCACCCAGAGACCACACACCTCTAATTCCAGCACTTGAGAGGCGGAGCCAAGGGATTATACATTTGAGGCCAACCTGGGCTAGACAGCAAACTGAAGGCTGGACTAGAGAAAGAGACAGTGTTTTAAAAACAAAGACAAAAGAAAGAAAGGAAGGAAGGAAAGGACAGAAAGACAGAAGAGGAAGAGAGGGGATGTGTATCCACACTATTGGAGGGGGGCTTCCCACAATAGTGGTTCCATAGAAGGAAACAACTTAGCAAGGATAAGATAGTTGCTCTCTCCTTTGTCAAGCAAATCAGTGCCCTGCCTTGGCCTGTGCTGGCAGCTTCCCTGAAGCAAGACGATTGGTTGTCAGGCCCTGAACGGAGGGCTAGAACCCTGGTATGCAGACGCGTCTCACGTCTCAAAGTGTGGTCTGTGAGCCCACAGCATCAGCACCTAGGAGGCGGCTCTCTCCAGACAGGAACCACTAAATGGGACCAGAGATTTCCCAGGGGGTCTGTGTGCACATTAAAGTTTGAGAAACTGCTCCAGGTCTTCTCCTGGTAGGTGCCTGAGGCAGGGCGAGGCTCAGAGACGAGATCCTTAACAGAATGTTGCATTTATCTTTTCAGAGGACATTAAGATAGAAGTGAATGACAAGCGAGAAGATGGTTCCGTCCTTCTGATTTGTAACTCACAAGACAAAGAGATCACGTGGCTAAAAGATGGAAATATAATAAATTCCACAAATTCAAATAAAAACACATGGAATCTGGGAAGCAGTAGCAAGGACCCTCGAGGGATATATGCCTGTCAAGGAGCAAAGGGGGAGTCAAAGCGACTCCAAGTGTACTACAGAAGTATGTAACCTCACTGGGTTTGTTCCTTAGGAAATTAAGCAGTGCTGTCTGTTTGGGCCACCCTACTATCTAGGTTTAAGATGGAATTAGACCCCAAACATGATTTACAGGAACAGCCAAGTCTCTTAATCTGTTCATTGTGCTTAACATCATGGTGGCACACGCCTTTTAATCCTAGCACTCAGGAGGCCAAGGCAGGAGAAGAGCTGTGAGGTCAAGGTCATCTTGAAAGATACAGCAAGACCTTGTCTCAAAAACAGACAAACAAGAGTGTTCTCTCAGCTTCGTGGAAGCACTAGCTAGTGAAACCTGGTTTATCTTTGGACAGTTCAGCAACTTCTGTGAACTGAGTGGGGGTGGGTAGGGGAACCACAGGAGATCACAAAGTGAGCAGCAGTGAGGCCAGAGGGCAGCCCAGAGTGGGGAGCAGGATCGGGTGTTCCCTCTGACTGGAAGAGCCTGCTCCCTAGACGGAGGCATGGCTGCTAGATCCCCTGTAGACTTGTCCCTCCATGTGCCTTGTTCCCACAGTGTGTCAGAACTGCATTGAGCTGAGCCCAGCCACCATCTCCGGCTTCCTCTTTGTTGAAATCTTGAGCACTCTCTTCCTTGCCGTGGGCGTCTACTTCATTGCTGGGCAGGACGGAGTTCGACACTCGAGAGGTAAAAGAATGGTAATCTTAGCTGGGGACTGGGGCCACCTCCTGAGACCCCAGACCCCGAACAGACCCAGAGTTGGCCTGAGGCTGTTTCTGAGCAGCAGGAAAGACACCTGGGGTTACACCAGCCTGTCACCCTCTCGCAGTCCATCTCCCTCACCTTGTCCTCTATGTTTAGAAGGAACTCTTGGGGCTGGGGATTTAGCTCTGCGGCATAAGCGCCTGCCTTACAAGCAAGCAGTCCTGAGTTCAATCCCTGGTACCAATAAAAAATTTTTAAAAAATAAAAATTAAAAAAAATTTTTAAAAAAGAAGGAACTCTTCACTGAAGTAACATTTAATTACAAAAAGTGAATCACAGACATAGCTCAAAAAAATATTGTTTATTGTTGTAGTACTAAGCATTGAATCCAGAGCCTTCACAAGTCACCTACATCCCGAGATCTTTTTATTTATTTGTTCATTCATCTCTTTTGTTTTGTTTTGGTCTTTTTGAGTCAGAGTCTTACTGTGCAGTTCAGGCTGGCCTTGAGCTCACTTTCTAGCCCAGGTTCGTCTTGAATTTGCAATGATCCTCCTGCTTCAGCCTCCTGAGTGATGGGATTATAAGCATGCACCACCATGCCCAGCTTCATTCATTTATTTCTGAAACAGAGTCTTGCTAAGTCAATATGTTGCCCAGGCTGGGTTTAAGCCTGTGAGCCTCCTGACTCAGTCTCTCAGAATACTAGGATTACAGTTGTGTAACACCAGACCTGGCTTCCAAAAGTAAATTTAACAAAGCTAAAATACTTATGCAACCAGCAGCCAGCAGAAGAAAAAACAACATTAGGTAGGCATCGTGGCACATGCCTGTAATCCCAGCATTCTGGGAGGCAGAGGCAAGAAGACGGCAAATTCAAACCCAGCCTGAGTAACTTTGCACATCCTTGTCTCAAATTAAAAATAAAAATTTTTAAAAGGCCTAGGAATCTAATTCAATGTGAAGGTCATGGGTTGAATCCCCAACAATACCAAAAAATAAAAAAAATTTAAAAATAAGGGAAGGATAGCCAGGCATGGTGGCGCACTCTTGTAATCCCAGCACTTGGGAGGCTGAGGCAGGTGGATTGTTGCAAGTTCAAGACCAATCTGGGCTACCGAGTGAGCCCAAGGCCAGTCTGAACTGCATAGCAAGACCTTGTCTCAAAAAGACAAAAAAAAAAAAAAAAAAAAAAAAAAAGAAAGAAAGAAAGAAAAGAAAAGGAAATCACTGCCCACCCCCCACAATGAGCACAAGGATTAATTTTGGCTATTTTTGTTCTTTATGCAAATGAACTCATGCAGTATTCTTGAGCCGGCTTCTTTCATTTGACAATATGCTTGCAAGACTGATCCACGCTCTTGTGTGTAGATGATTCTTATGCTGTTTAGTATTCTGTTGTGCAAATGGAAATGCAGCCCAGTTTATTCACAGCTCTGTTGTATGTGTTTTGTTTGTTTTGTGTTCAGCTTCAGACAAACAGACTCTGTTGCCCAACGACCAGCTCTATCAGGTAAGGGGTGAGGGATGGAGGAGACTGCTGCAGCCAGTGGGGTGAAAGTTTGGAGGGTGCTTCAAACACACTCCGCAGGTAAGAAACTGCACCGCATACCTGCAAATGGGGCGGTTACCCTGCAGAAATATAAAAGGGCTAAGAGAACCCGGGTCTAGTGAGAACAAGCTGGAGAACAGTCCCAGAGGGACACCCAGACCTAGCATCGCCCCCTTTCAGTATGGGGGCTATGAGGCACCCATCCAAAGCTGCACACATAAAAGCATCCCATAAGAATGCATGGAGTTCATTAGCAGAGAGCGAAACGTGAGTTTATGACGACACTGTCCTCTTCAGCCCCTCAAGGACCGGGAAGATGACCAGTACAGTCACCTGCAAGGAAACCACCTGAAGAAGTGAGCTCAGGAGCTCCGCGTGGGTGAGTTCTTCAACACCAGCTCTGAAGAAGTAGCTTTGTATCACCTGTCCCCTGCTGCTGCCAAGGCACTTCCTTTTCCCAGGGAACTATAAAGATCAGGAGAGAGAGAGAGAGAGAGAGAGAGAGAGACAGAGAGAGACAGAGAGAGAGACAGAGACAGACAGACAGAGAGACAGAGAGAAACAGAGAGACAGAGAGAGACTAGTGGGCCCACAAAAATACGGATTCTCTGTGTATCTGTAAATCTCCTTAGAATAGGACCTCAAGCCACAGAGATGCTGAATATCAGTATTAACCTTATTAAGGTCTCTCAGGGTCACTAAAACCATTCTAGAGCTAGTTAATCCTTTGCAGGAGGGGCGTCCTGTGCATTAGAGAGACCACTACACCACCCTTGGCCTCTACCTACCAGGCCCCAGTAGTACCTCAGAGGTGGCAAGTGAAAGTGTGCTCAGACATCACCAGATGCCTCCTTCAAAGCAAAATCACCCTTAGTTAATAACTATTGTAATCTTTTGATCAATCTATCAATAATCAGAAGTTCCAATTCAATAAATCCATCAGAAGTGTCCATCAGAAAGTAAGTGTGAAACCATGGTTTAGTTCTCCAACCAACCGAAATTTTTCTTTTTTCAATCCAGGTGTTCTCCGTCCTACTCTCAAAATCAAAACAATACATTTGGAGCGCTCCCAACGGAGAGTTTTCAGCTAAACCTAGTCTCAAGTCCCGCGGAGGTGACAAATGGCAAGGGGTGGTCAGAGCAAAGTTTAGTTTTGTTCTCTAAATAAAATAAAAACCCAGGCTGAGGGTGTTGCCTAGTGACAGAGCACTTACCTAGCCTAGGCGACGCCCTGGGCTCCATCCCCAGCATGGGGTGTGTGGGGGTGCCCTTACAGTGTGGTGTTTCTGGAGCGCCACCTACTGGGGAAGAGTGTAAAAAATAAAAAGGTCAAATCACCCCTATTTGGTTGGGGGGGCCGGGGTTCATACCAAGAATTGAATTCAGGACTTTGCATTTGCCAGGCAGGCGCTTGTGGCACTGAGCTATATCCCTGGACTAATAATCCATATTTGAATAGAATTATTTTTCAATTTTAATTTGCATTGAGTTTCTGCATAGGTAATAATTCACATGGGTCCAACATACAGTAAAATTTGTCCCTCTCCCTCCATTCTCAGCCACCCAATTGCTTCTCCAGAGACAAACTAGTCTTGTAGACATCTTCCAGGAGGTAACCTGGGAACGTGAGCAAATTACCCCCGCTTCACCTGCTTACACACGTGGTATCGAACTATACATCTTGTACCTTCCCCTAGTAAAACTTAGAGATCGTTTCACACCAGTGTAAAGAACTTTTTAGTACAGCCACGCTGCACAGATACAGTACAAGGTAGTTAACAGGCATCTATTGCTGGGCACTTAAAATTGGTTCTAAACTTTCACTCATAACAAGCCTGCCATGACTAACACTGTACAAATGCCACTTAAAAATAATTTCAGTGAAGTATAATTTACCTGCCGTAAAGTTCACCTCTGTTGATTATTTCTCTGCTGCTAATTTTTAGTAAATTTATCCTTCACCATAACATTCCCATCCAAACGGCCTGCTATGCTCACAGTCACGCCCTGTCCCTGTCCTCCACCCACAGCAGTTACAAGTCTCATCACGGTCTCCTTAGGGTTCCCTATTCTGGACGTTTCCGAGAAAAGAAACAAAATCATACAAGTAAGAGGCCTTTGTGTCTTTTAGCGTGTTTAATGGTTCATCCATATTGTCTCATACTTCAATATCCTGTCTCATTTTATTATGGAATATTTTATTATATGCATTCTATGTTTTGTTTATCTGTTCGCTGTCCAGTGGACATTTGAGTTGTTTCCATTTTGCTGCAATAAATAGCCATTCTTGTGCAAGCCTTTGTGTAGTTTTGTTTTCTCTGGGCTAAATATTCCGGTGAATTTCTGAATTACATGGCAAATCCATGTTTAACTTTCTTTCTTTCTTTCTTTCTTTCTTCTTTCTTTTTGAGACAGAGTCTCACTTTATAGTTCAGGCTGGCCCCCTGGCCCTGAACTCATTGTGTAGCTCAGGCTGGCCTCCACTTCACAACGATCCTCCTGCCTCAGCCTCCTGAGTGCTGGGATTACAGGCATGCACCTCCATGCCTGGCTTTAACATTTTAAGAAACTGCCAAACTGCTTTCCAACTGACTGTGTCACTTTACATTCCCACCAACAATGTATGCAGGCTCTTGTTTTTTGTATTCTCACCAATGTTTGTCACTGTCTGTTTTAATATGCTCATTTAAATGAATATAAACATCTTATTCTGGGAGGATTTTTTTTTTTTTTTGAAACAGGATCTTGCTATGTAGTTCACACTGGGCTTGAACTCATGATTTAACTCAAGCTGGACTTTAAACCGTGGCAGTCCTCCTGCCTCAGCCTCCCAAGTACCCAGCTCATTTTCTTTTTAATATGTATTTTCCTAATAATTTGTACATTTATTTGTTAACTGTTTATACAGCTTTCTTTAAATGTCTATTCAAATCTTTTGCCTTTTCTTTTCAATACTGAGGGCAAAACCCTGGAATGCTCTATATTGAGCTACATCTCCAGATCTTTATATTTTATTTTGAGACAATAGTCTTGCTGAGTTGCTCAGGCTGGCCTTAAATTTCTAATCCTCCTGCCTCAGCTTCCCAAGTAGCTGGCATTACAGTTATTGACTTCCATCCCCAGCCTTTTATCCATTTTTAAGTGAATTGTTTGTTCTTCCTACAGAGTTGTAGGATTGCAGTTTTGGATACAAGGCCTTTATCAGATATACAATTGGAAATATTTTGTTTGCTTGTTTGTTTTTTGAGACATGGTCTCACTATGTAGTCCAGGCTGATCTTGAACTTGAGTATGTAACCTAGGCTGGCCTCAAACTCACAGCCATCCTCCTGCCTTAGCTAGCCAAGTACTGAAATTACACACACATATCATCACACCCAGCTAAAGATTCTAATTTTATATACCCCATTTCCAAACGTAAATTGGTTCATTCCATTTATATGAAACGTAGTAAGTTCAATTATTGTAACTTCACCTGGGTATCAAGCACTTCAAAATATAAAGTATGGCCAGAGAACCGTTATTTCTTATCCATCATGGCTGTTTTAGTAGCTGCATCTCTGCAGAATGCTAACAGACAACAGTTACATAATCCATAGAGAAAACCTGCAATCGAAAGCCACACATAGTATTTTATCATGACAATCATGATGATATTCCTTTTGTAACACATTTAAATGTCCATTTTAATATAGAATAGCCTTTCTGGGCAGACATCGCCATCTGATCACATTAAATGACACAAAGAAACTCATCTAATTTGTTATCCTTCAGTAGGGTGCCATTCAAGGAGAAGGCACCTGCCTATAAATGCATCCTAGATGTTTATAATTCTAATCATAATTTTTAGTGTGTGATTATTTGAACAGTTCAGGGCCTGAGCATCTTTAAGTGTAGTAACACTTGCATAACATCACACAAGCTTTTTAAAAAGGCTGCAGCCCCGCCAGGGGGAGAACCACCAGCATCTCCTGAGATCTGCACCATGTTGGAACTTAAGGCTCTGGGAAGTCAAGGAAGCAGCTCCCCGCTCGATGGTGGCTGTGGTGTGGCCAGCTGCGGCCCCTCCAGGAGGAGAACCACCAGCTTCTTCTGAGATCCACACTATGTTGGAACTTAGGACACTGGAAAACCAAGCAACCAGCCTGCCTCCCTGCTAAGCAATACTGAACCTACTGGTGCACGGCCTAGAGTCAAACATCCCACTTCCCCTACCCTCCTTCCCCTGTCCCGCCATTAGCAAATGGGAACCAGAAATCTAAGCATCTCCTGGGAGGTTGACCATAGCAAATAAGGGGGATTTCCTTCTACCATCTCTTTGAAGGCAAATATTTTTATTACTGTTTTGCTTTATTATTATTAATGGTATTGTTCTATTTAACACTGTTTGATAAGTTCTATAATGTTTCGTATTTCATTTTATTTTGATATATGTGATTGAAAGAACAACTATTATAAAGATAATGAGAAAAAAAAATATATATATATCTTCTGATGGGTGACCTCATGGTGGTTTGACATGTACCTCTTATTACAAGTAGCTGGAACGTAAGAGAAAGGCAGATATTTGAATATAAAAGAAAAGACTATCACCATAAAGAATCTTGATTTTATCTCTTAGAAGACCTGTATCCCTGGAAGGCATGAATACATTCTGTACACCATAGATTTAGAAATAATGAGTGTCACGGCTATATGAAAACCTTTGTCTCTTAACTCAGTTTGGTATTAGAGGATCTTTTAGTGAAACCTTATTGTTTTCCCACAGAACACTTAGTCTTTTGATGATAACCAATGTAAACATCACGTAATATGTTTAGCATATTTATTGGGCAGTGTCTCCCATAACACTGTAGAAATTATTGGGTTCCCAGTAGTGAAAAATAGACTAGAAGAAAATATTTCCAGGTAGTTGCTCTGTTATTCACCAGGGAAGTCCTGTCCAGTAGTTTCCTTAAGCCTAAGGGGCTTCCATTTAATTATCTGAACAAAATTTTCACTATCTATGAGAACAAGCTCAGAATAACACTTTAGTTTTGACCAGTGGGAGATTGCCAAGTTATTGTACACAGACAATATTATGCGTTGCATTTGTAAATTTAGTCTTGACTTTGTTTTGTTTTGTTTTGTTTTTACTTCATTTTTATCAGTTGGTAGTCTGGGAGAGAGCATGTCCTCAACTCTAGTGACATTTATGTACAACCCAATTTAAGTTATAGACAAATATTTTAAAAATCCAAGCAAAAAGCCGGGCGTGGTGGCTCACACCTGTAATCCCAGCACTCGGAGGCTGAGACAGGAGGATCATTGCAAGTTCAAGACCAGTCTGGGCTAAAAAGTGAGCTCAAGGCCAGCCTGAACTGCATAGCAAGACCCTGTCTCGAAAAAAGACAAAAAATGTCCAAACAAAAAAAGCAGAAAACATTGTTGAGCAAAAACAAAAACTACTGAGTATTACAACCAGTCACAAATGGGACAGACAGACAGGCACACATTGTGATAGCTTGGACCCCAGAATAAAACCCAAGGAAACAAGAAATTAAAATTTGGGGAGCAAAGGCTTTATTTTAGGCCAGGACTGGCGACACAGCCTCCAGGAGCCAATATGGAGACTGTGCGCCTTGCAGCTAAAAGGGTTGGGTTTTAAAGCCGAAAACCACAGGAATGTTGCAAACTTTGACCCAGTTTGATAACTTCCTTGTAAACGTTTCTTAAGGACAGCACATTGTATTGCAGATAGGCTGAAGATGGTTGGGGGGATTACAAGAAACTGAAACTTAAAGTTTACTTAACCTAAAAAAGAATGGGGAGGGGAGGGGATTTACAAGGAGCTGAAACTTAAGTCTTTACTGGAGATAGAATTTTAATCTCTAATGAAACGGCGCATACAGAACAGAAAGGAGGCACATTGGTTAGAACTAGGTTACAACATTCCCCTCTGATGTTCTGACTGAAGGCCAAATCCTTGGCCAGTTAGTTGGGAGGAAAGTATAGGCCATATTTCTTCCACAAATAAATACTTGTCCTTTGGTGGGATAAAGGGAAGTAGTCTGGTTAACTATGGAACGACAATTAGTAAACACAACAAACCCCACGTCAGTGTCGGAGGTATCATTATGAAAACCTTCTTGGAGACAGGGAGAGTCCTTGAAACCTACTGGTTGTACTCTAAAGGGGGGGCCAGCACTACAATTTAAGTAATCTTGTTCCTCCAGCGTGGTCAGAGAAACATTGGTAGGGATCGCAAGGGGCATGGGGGAGCCCTGTGCCATGCATGACCAGCAATCTTCAGCCAAAGTTGGGTTGGAAGCATTTAAGACTTTATGAGTGGCTTTTAGAATATCAGAAGTTTGAGCATCCAGATCAACTCCCCACGATTTAGGCAGCATCAAGGGGTGGTAATGTATCTGGGGAAATATTATTTTTTAATAAGAACGATTCTGAGGGCATGGCCCTGGCTGGCTGCCTTTGTTAGGTATCACGCAGGGTTTTAACTTACACATCCACATTTGAGTCAAACCTCTTGTAACTGAGGGTATAGCAACAAGGAATGCTAACTTATCCCCAAAATCTGTCCAAAGACTATATTATATAGTTTATCATTTATGTGGGAAGGATCATGATCCTTTTTTCCTATTGTATGTATAATTCCCCCCCAGCCAGTGTCTTCACCTTTAGTATAGCCCCCTCCACAATCACAGGGACTCCCATACAAAGATTTCAACAATTGTTCTTTGCTTACGGGGGACCAAAGCCACCATGCAAGGTCAGCATCAATGTTATTAAAATCCCCAGCAGTGGGCTAGAAGAAGCAAAAGCAAGCAAGCTAAAGCAGTTCATGACTGGTATAATCTAACTATGTTTAGTCAATTTTAACTTCAAGGGGTTACCTTCAAGTCTGTTGTATGGTCCACTGAGTATGTCCCTCGTTGTCCACTGTTTCCAGTGGCTTTACATGAGTATGGTGAATCCACCAGTTTTTCCTGCTACTTTGACGGCAGTGGGGGTGCTGAGCACCACAGTGAAGGGTCCTTCCCAGCGGGGTTCGAGGGAGTCTTGATTGTGACGTCCCACCAGGACAGAAGTTCCCGGCTTGATGGGTGCTTTGAGTGGCATCTCTGAAGGCAGGTCTGGGTCTTTTTGTCTAAACAGCTGGTGGATCAAGGCCAACACAGGCTGGAGTGTCTGCAGCGACTTAATGAGATCTTGGTTAGTTATTTCAACTAATTTGTCCTCTGACAGTCTCGGGACCAGTGGAGGGGGCCTTCCAAACATAGCCTCAAAGGGGGGAAATT